ATGCAGTGGCAAAAGTCACTTCGATCTCCCTTGTCGATAAGGATATTTTTCCAGAAGCGTCGCTGTTGACTTAGAGGAAACTATTCTAAATAACTCGAGCAGCCATATTGTCTTCAGAGAGAAGACAGTTTCTGCTTCAACTCTTTCATAAGACTGATCTTATTCAGTCTTATTTCGCTTGTCCTGTCATGACTTGTAGCATTAACATGCGAACTGAGGCATGGAGAGTCTACTTTGTGGTACCCTGCAACCTTCCCTGCAGTCTTCAACAGCCTTTCAGCACACGGGACATTTGTAGTCGTCGTTAGTGTGAAGCAACATTGATGTTTGCTGGTCGTCAACTAATTTTCAGGGGAGCGGGGGGAACGTGTTGGTGAGTATTTTAGCCTTTTAGCCAAACACATTGACACCTTGGTTCCTTTTCAATTCAGAAAACAGATTATCCTCTTCAGGCTGAGAAAGGATTTTGTGTCCACAACTTTTTCTTTTTCTTTTTTTGCCACACAAATGAGATCCCCACTTACTGAAAGAACATTGTGCCCAACTCCACCTGTGATTAATGCACCCGGTGCCACACTGCTTTAGCTGAAGATTAGAGAAAGTTTGGCCATGTAATCTTAATGTGTAGGATAAGGGACACATCTTACAGTTGCAGGACTCTGGCCCTCAAGGACTGCAATTTGACACGTTCTTACCAAACCATAGTGCCGCTTATCGATCATCTTCTCCCTCCAGAAACAAGAGACTTTTCAGGAGAAAAAAATAAAACTTAGTGGGCAACGTTGTGTCGAGCGGCACGTGCCAAAGCCACCACCAAACTCCCAAAGCGTCTCACATCACATTTAAATTTAGAAATTTGGTTGAAGCCCCACCGACCTGACGTGCTGAGCGTTCCTGATAACCACTGCAAGAACAGTTTCTACAGGAAGAGTAAACACGTTCAGGCCTGTGATTGGCGGGTTGGACAGACATGACTGGCAGTGGTCGCAAACATGCCCGGCGGTGTGCCGTCCACGCCGCTCTCCTACTCAGAGTCGGCTCCGCTGCCGTTTACCCGTCAGATCCGATTTACTCAGCCAGGCCTTGACTGTTTGCAGGAGATCATCTGCATGCCCCCTCCCCCACCAGCACCCCCGCCACCCTGGGTGGCCTCGGATGATTTGAGTAAGCGGTCAGCTGGGCGCACCTGTCGGCTGACGCACACCTGTGGATCTGACCGACAATGATCAAATTGTGAGGTCGCTCTGCATCGCCCCCATCAGCGAGAGGAAAGCAGTTAAAAAGGTACGCACAAGAGGAGGATTAGTCATCCGAGCGACACTACAGCGCCTTTGTTTTTGTTGCATCACTGATCCAAAACTAACAACCCGGCGCAGAAGGCATCACTGAGCAATAAGGGCTCACGCTCGGGCAGGTCCCTGAAATTAGCTTCGCGGACAGGCCGGATATCAATGAAAACAGGCTGTGGTGATGAGTGATGATGTTGCTATGACAACAGGCAGGCTGAGCGTGCAGCCTGGCTTTAGTATCTTCAGGCATGCGGCAGGCAACATCCAGACGGTTTGAGTTTTTAACCTCTTAAGTGGCAGGAAGCAAGCTGCAGTCTGATGGGATCATGGGATGAGGGTTAGGGGTGTGTGTGTGTGTGTGTGTGTGTGTGTGTGTGTGCGTGTGTGTGTGTGTGCGTGTGTGCGTGTGTGTGTGTAGGTGGGTGAGGGTGAAGGATGTTTGTCTTTGTTTAAGGGGAGGATTTGAAGTCAGGCATCAGTTAAACCTCTGCTTCAGAGGGCAGATATGAAAATGGGAAATGTGATACTTCTTGCTCTTTTTTTTTTTTTTGTTACCATCCAGATCCAGAAAGGGCCAACTACAGAGACACGAGAGGGACAAACAAACAGATTAACACATGGCAGCACACGCATACACACAGGCAAAAACAGAAAGAAACACAGTTAAGCTACAACTGTCCCTATGACTCACACGACCCAACATAAACAATTAGTGATTAAAGAGGCAGAGTTTAGGCTCTGAGAAGAACCATTGATTCCACTGTAAGGCCTGTTGGAATCTGTACTTGCGAACAAGAGTATGCTCAGGTTCTTCACGGATGTTTATGTGCAGCCCTGAGCTTTAGAACCCTGTGAACAGTGAAACCCCCAATCAAAGGAGGGCACTAAACACTTGCTGGGCAAAAATGCAAGAGTTAGATGACGAGCAGAAAGAAGAAGAACAGCAACAACAATAGGTTGCTTTTGGGGAAAGACAGCGAGTCAGAAGATTCTTCTGTTTTTCCCCATTGATCCCTCCAGAAGAATACAGAACTGCATCGCTTCCCTGGGGAGAAGTCACCTTCCCTTCAAAGGAGACTGAAGAAATCAGTTTGTACTGAAAACTGCATGTACCTGAATCATTCTTGAGTTGACAGCATCTGTTCTCGGAGGAAAGACAGCAAGTGGCCAGAAGTTAGCATCTGATTTGTAGCTTCCTTTTTGGCCGAAACTAAAGGCACCTAGTCATCTTTAGTTTAAAATGGAAAAGAATTTTCTACACGGTTTTCAGATCATTTAATATGCGAGTCATTGAACACATCATTTGTGAAAAACTAGAGGAGAAACAGTGAACAGTCCAAAAATTCTTCAAGATTTCTCTTTGACGCTTCCAGAACCTTAAAATGGTTTCAAATGGTGGAAACGAAAACGGCTGCTGGATAATGACACCAAAACCTTGGGTGGAAGTTTCTTCCTTATTTGCGTAGGCACAGGAAGCCAACATTCCTCGATTGCCAGCACTGTGTTTTCAGGAAGTCACAGCTGTACTTAACTCCATCACAGCACCTTGTCAGCAAGCTGGTTCAGGGCCCCTGAGGGCGATCTTTAACATGAACGTTCATTAAGTCCTGTTTGCCTCAGTCAAACATGAAGGGCTTTGTGCGTATACATATTATAGAACATGATTATGTCCTGCACCGACAGCTGTATGTGTGTTTTAAACAAACGTTGCGCTCCATCAACTCTTTGCTGAAACCAAACATGATATTTATCAGCGTTAAGTCCCTGATAGTTGTTAATCAGTACAATAAATGCCCAGAAAAAAAAAAACATTTCAACATGAAAATAAAAAAAAAGAAAGAAAGGGGAATTTTTGGTTTTCCTCCAAATATTGCTAACATCTCAGCTCCTTTTTCTGCTTCATCTCATCCTGTTAGCTTCAGGCATCACTCCGACTTAGCAGTTATAGAAGCTCAACTTAGATTTTTGTGCTTTTATAAATTATATATATCTGGGTCAGGGCTAGATTATGGACCAGGGCGAATGGAGAAAACAAAATATTGATCCTTCATGCGATTCTCAGCCCGTCCGCATGACCTCGGAACTTGAGACCGCAGATTACTCTGATCGATCAAACTGTAAGGGAAATAAACATTCAACAGAGCTATCGACTTCTGTGTGCCGTATTTCAGCTTCTCGACCGCAATGACTGGGAAGAAGAAAAGAAACGCGGCTCCTCCAAAAACGTTCTAACTGTAGAGTCAGTGTGTTTGGTTAACTCTTGTTCTTATGTAAACCAACAATACTGCTTCCTTTGTTCAAACATCAACCTCATATAGTCTTTTTTTGTGGCACCACCTGTAGACAGTGAAGAGGAGGAGTGATGTAATCGCAGTGTATGAAACCATCTCTATTTGCTGCTCTGTTTTTAACCAACTGTTTGTCAGAATCAAGAGATTCACAAACACCGGCATGATGCGCAAAAAGCCAGACTAACTGATGGATAAACTGAGGAAAAATGGCTCCCAAATAATATTGTCACCATCCTAAAATACTTTCCACTTTTTAGCTGAAGTGACTTTTTGTGGCCCAATAAATTTTCTTTGGTAAGAAATGTCTTGGGCTGAGAAGGTGACAATATGTGAATAATTTCTAAAGAATGAAAAAGTGTCTCACCATGTAAGTTGAAAACAAGCTGTGGTTTATGGATGCATCTTAATAAACCGTTTAAAAGGTAATTTTAGTATTTCAGCTCAAGAGAGCGTCTAGTGTTTGGTTGCGGCTCCTTTTGTATCAGTCAGTCCATCGGTGTGGCGCAGCATGGAGGTGTGTCGTTCTGTTCTGCTGCATTTTTATCAGTCTGGTGTCCGAATTTTGACCATAGTCATTTAAGTAGGTGCTGGTGGCGGTTTCATATTCAATTTTTATTTTATGCATTTTCTTAACATAACAAACAACAGTATTTCTTTGTTATTTTTAAGCTAAGAAAAACATGAGCTTTCATATTCTATGCATATTATGAAGGGATAAGTTTAGGTTTTCAATTTTCCGGAAGCTGATCTTAGACTTTAATACCATAAAGACTTTTAGAAAGTTATTCTGTAATATTAAAAATTTTGAAGCATAGAGTCATCTCAGTTTGGTTTGACTATTTTCCTCAATAAATTAAATAACTATAAAAATTCTTGTTGGATTCACTCAGGTTATTCCGGCCTCGTATCAAATCACCAGAACAATTGTGTGACTGAAAACGGGATAAATCTGTAAGGAGGCAAATACTTTTTCAAAGAATTGGATTTTACATTTTAAAGTGAATTACTGAAAAATAAAAAATAACTTTTTGGTATTAAATGTTATGGAGATGCAGCTGGACAATAAGCGTAACTGAGACCGCCTCTGGGTTTAATCGTTCTTAAAGTGATAGTTAGCAGAAGAAAAACAATATATTAATTATATATGTAAAGCAAAATTTCTAAGAGTGGGGTCTGAAGAAACAAAGTTCTGACATGATCAACATCAACAAGTGTGGGCTGTGGCGCGTTTGGCACTGAGGAACAGGGGAAATGGGAGCCACACGTTAATACTGTCAGAACTCTGAGCTGATTTGTTTCAACCTACAACGCTGTGCGTTTCTGTGAATGAAAACAACAATAGGAAAAAAAAGGGAGGACAAAAAGAAAAGAAAAGAGAAAGGCAGTGAGCCGCCATATGCGCGCGGCGGTGCGCCCTTACCCGCGCCGCCCTGGAGGAGTACGGGTCCTCGAACAGGTTCCAGATCACCGGCTGCCACTTCCTCCACAGGCCGACGTTCGCGTCCGCCGCCACGTCCTCGATCCCCAGCCTCTTGCCGACCTCGTCGTCCTCCTCGCAGGTGGTGTCCACGTTGAGCTCGAACACGTCCAGCGCCTCCTCCGCGTCGCGGTGCTGCCGGTAGGTCATCCAGCAGCACGGCTCCACGTCCGTCTCATCGATGCCCCAGAAGGAGAGCTCTTCCTCGAACAGCGGTCCGCACACGTCCGCCGGGCAGTGCAGCTTCCCGGTGCGGTAGTAGTTGAGCACGTAGGCGAAGACGCCCGGGTGGCGGTCGAAGAAGTACTCGTTGGTCCGCGCGTTGTACTCGATGAAGCCGGGGACTTGTTGCAGCTGGTCCAGCACGGAGTCGATGTCCGAGTCGCAGGCGAGCAGGGCCAGGCGCGTCCCCGGCAGGGTCTTCAGGGTGCTCTTGTAGGTTTCGTGCCTCGTGCCCCCGACGTTGAGGATTATCCTCTCGTTGTCGTCGAACTTGCCCATCGCTCCGTTTCAGACATGACTCGATGGGATCTCAGGGAGAGACGCCGAGACGAAGGTGGTCGGTGCGCATCGCGCGGTCCGCTCCGACGGCGCCTCAACGCCCGGGAGGCTGCCGGATGATCCGAACCCCGAGCCGACCGCTCTGATGTTGGTGCTGCTGCGCGTCGCCGGCGTCCCCACCCTGCCCCTCTCCAAGACGCACAGAGACGCCTTCCTCGTCAGCGTCCGGCACGCCGCCTAAAACAGCGGAACGCGAAACAGCAACAGCTGTCTGGGAATCGATGACGGCATCGTCGTTAGAGGCAGTCTTTGGAAACAGACTAATCCGCTCCGTCTTCTGTCACGTCGTTCTCATCGTCGTCGTCGTTGTTGCTGCCGGTGAAAACCGATCCGCGTCTTCGGAGCCCCGGGGGGTCCAGCGGAGGAGGAAGATATGTCAGTCGGAGATTCGCGTTCCTCAAACCCAAACGCGCAAAAAAAGAAAAAGCAAAAAAAAAAAAAAAAAAAAAAAAAAACGATGGAGCGTAAAACAGAATCAACAGGTCTCCTGCTGCACTTTGCGTTCAAGGATGAAAGTAACTGCAGGCGAGACCAACGCCCACCGCCACCCGGATGAAGGGTTCCCAAGCGCGCAGCCACAAATTTGGGGAAAGAGGTTTAATGGCGGCAGGCTGGAATTTATTAAGTTTGATCAGGTTTCAGAAGAGTCTGGAGAAGTATTGAACACTGATATCTGAATACCTTACAGGCGAGAGTAAGGTCAGAAAAACAAGACATTAGGAAAATTTTTATTTTCCAGACTACAGTCCCTATGCGAGTTAAAAAGTAGTTGCAACATTTCTCTCATCTTTCTTTCTTTTAGATTCACTTTTCTTCCTCTCTCTCTCTCTCTCTCTCTCTCTCTCTCTCTCTCTCTCTCTTTCTCTCTGTGTGTGTGTGTGTTTTCAGCTGTATAAAAATCGGTTTGTTTCATTATTTCGCTAAACTGCCGTGGCAGCGCTTTTTCCGCATCACTCCAGTCACATGATCAATAACCGGATGTTGCCACTGGCGCAAACCACGAAGAAGACAGAACAGAAGAATGGGCTGGGAAGGGGGTGTTGGCACAGTACAATTCATCCCAAATTAATTTGATTGCGTTTTCATTTGAACAATAAGCAAAATACTAAAAATATATATGAAGTTTTGAAAACAGCAGTAACTGAGGAAGAATTTTTGTTGCTATAAATTATATGTGTGTGTGTGTGTGTGTGTGTGTGTGTGTGTGTGTGTGTGTGTGTGTGTGTGTGTGTGTGTGTGTGTGTGTGTGTTACTTTCTGAGCTCCTGCTGCAGAGGCTCGACAGGAAACGGGCACAGCTCCTCCACACAGACCAGCGCCACCTTCTGGCCGGCTGCTGAGAATGAACCAGATATTTTTCAGAGAGCAGAGAAATGAAAGAGGACAGAACTAATGGAGCTCTTGGAAAAACGACCAAAATTACGAATAAATAACTTTACAGCTGGTCCAAGTTCCTGGATCCACCATTGCATAACATGGTGGAGCCAGAAGCTATGTACTTTGAGCTTGGTCTTGGGGTGCACCCTGTTCCTGGGGTGCCAGGGAGCTGGCACCAGGCAGGGCAGTTCCAGGTACTCCCAGGGACCCGGCTGGGTCCTTGGAACTGTAACCTGGAGCCCCACATCCGAGCTCGCTCTCATTCATCAAGCAATGTGTCAAACCCTTCACGCAAGGGCTGGCATGAATGTAGACAGCCACTCTCTCCAGAGGAGCTGAATGCTGCCAGTAATCTCATTCTCAAGTCTGTTCAGGAGGATGCTTTTTCTGAAGAGTACACTTCTCTCCACGTTACGATGGAGCTTCACAGCTCAAGCTCCATCGTAACTCTTGACCCCTGTATGGATGAAGGCCTCATAAAAGTTGGAGGTCGCCTCAAACATGTTTCATTTGATGTAGTATCCAAGAATCCAGTCATTCTCCCAAGCAAAGATCATGTGTCAAAGTTACTTGTCTTCCACTATCATGCCATACTTGTGCATCAAGGAAGGCAGTTCACAGAAAGTGCAGTTAGGCAAGCATTAATATGATACAACAAACAGACCAGGGGAAGAAACTCTGGATTTACCAAAGGGTACAATTACTTTTCCCATTGGGTTGGATTGGTTTTCTTGAGCGTTTCTTTAACAATTTTGATCCTTTTCATCAAACTCCATGTGACTCATCAATCCTCAGTTGCTATAGATAGTAGCAGGTGGTTCCCATCAGCGAGACAGCCACGGACTCCCAGTCATCAGCTGGCAGATTTTGCCGTAAGGAGCCACGAAGCAGCCGTCAGCCAGAAGGCCCGTCGTCTGACAGCCACCACAACGTGAGAGGAGGGAAGAGGAACATCTTCAGGGAATCTGAGCACAGCTCAATCAACGAGAAGACACACCGCCGCGGGTGATTTTTCCCATAATTACATGCGTCATTATCCCCTGATGTAAGACCTGTTTGTAGAACTGCAACCTCTGAGTGACCCAATTACCCCAAGATTGCATGGAGGCAGTCTTTCTGCACTTCAAGGTCTTTTTTTCTAAATGTGAAAGGTATAACCACGCCATCGTCTCTGTTCAGCAGCGTGAAACAGGGAGTCTTGACTCCAACTTTTTAGACCCCATCAACTAGGTTGAAACTGGACGAAGCAAACAAACGCAGCATCCACCCAATTATTTTAAAGTTTCATCTGGTGGATTTAAAAGACTGTTCCAGTAATAGTGACATTTTTCTGCAATGACTTTAACTGGCAGCAAAAAAGAATCTATCATTCATCTTCCATTAGTGACAGTCACTTTAAAACAACATTTAACAAATAAATGATAATAATGAAATCCCTGTAGCAGCAAATTTACTGACTTTACCTAGACTTTGGGTGCATCCACATCAGCCCTGGATTTGGATTATAGCGCAGGGCATTCTGGGTAAATGCATACATGTTCGTGCTCTCATATTATTATTTTCCCATAAATATCCCATATGATGGGTTAGTTCTTCTCCCCTGTACGCCTCCCGTCCACCTCCGTTTCCTCTCCCGCCATGTGTTCAGTATTCAACCAGTTCTTATGTTAAAATATAAATCCTGCACCGCTAAAATCTGATGGGAGTGCCAACAATCTTCAGACCAATGTTCATAGTTAATGAACATTGGGCATTTTGAGTCTCTGTTCAAAACTTCCCCAAGGATGCAGAAAAGATTATTACTGTCAAGGTCTAGGAAGAAAAGTTCTAAATCAACTAATTTAGAATCGGCATTGTGAACCCTTTGGATGCTCTATGTTCAACCATTTCTATATATATACATATTAAAAAAGCTCACTCTTGGCACAGACGTCCAAAGAAAAAATGGATTCAGATTAGAAAATCTCACCTTTCCAGATAACTTCCTCAACCCACATTGGTACTGAACTCCCCTGGAGACTTGCAGGAATTCCCTTAAGGGATACCCTGAAAAGTGAGAAGTTCAGATAGCCTGAAGTTATTTGTGCCTCTGACCCAAAAGAACCCCTCATCAGAACCTTCCCACTTCCCTAGAGGGTAGCAGGGAAGAAGTCCAACACTAAGGCTCTCAACCGATACCCAAATCGCCAACAGAGGAGATGTCAGCTCACAACAAACACCGGGATGACGACTTTCTACAATACGCTGATTTCAATTCTGCTTCAAAGTGAGGTTGAGCCGGTGAAAAACTCCGTTTGTGATGAAGAGCCCCTTTTAATGTTTCGCTAATAAGGTCATTTATCTTAGAGCACAGGGGAGGACAGCGGTCCAGGACAGTCGTTGCCTATAAACAGCCCATCGGTGTTCTGAATGATGCAGGCAGCAAACAGCATCCCGGGTTCCTTCTCCCTCCCCGTAATATCACGACTAAAAGTAGAGCAGCCAGATTGCTGATCTTTATCAGAAACTGGAGGGCACAAAAAAAAAAAAAAAAAAAAAAAAAAAAAGAAGGAAAGAAAACGTCTGATGGAAAGTCCTTGCCCGGTCCATTTCGCCTGACAGGATCAATCCCAGGGGGAGATGGAGGCCAGAAGCACAGCCTTGGTTTGTTTCCATTGGGACATTTTTCAGAAATGGGGGATTTACTTTAACTGGTCATGTGCAGCAGATTCTGGGAGAGAAAAATCTAGTTTCATTACAGGATTTTTAAAATATATGTATATACTAAAAAGAATAAATGATGCTCACAGCTTATTGAGGCCAGAACAGAGCATATTGTTCACGTGTTTTGAATGATGAGCATGAACATGGTTTTACTGTTTTCTCCAAACAAAAATACACAAAACATGATGTTCCTATGCTTTCAGACTCTTAGTTAGATACCTCAAAACAAAACACACTAAAGCCATCTGAAGTCACCTAATCGGTAAGCTGATTAAATACACCCGCTGTTGTGTTACAGGGTGGTGGGAACGTCATGGTGAGATGATTTTCTTTAGCATGAACAAGAAAGTTTGCCTTAGAAAAGAAAATCTGCGTGGAGTTGAGGTGGACAATCAGAACTACAATGTAAAAGGTCAGATGGAAATTGATGTGTTAGTACAGACTCTCCATTTGATTTGGCTAGACCATTCTAAGTCTTGAAGACTGGCATTCACAGATCCTCTCTGTCCTCTCAGAGTTTGGTCTTTCACACAAAGAAGGCAGGGCAAAAAAAATAATGGCAGTTTCAAGATGAAAGATTTTGCAAGTCAATGTCAAGAAACACGGAGCAACGAAACAAGAGCACTGGTCCAGAAACGGCAAGAACATGACTGCATCACATTGTATTACATTTAAAAAAAACAAAAAAAAAAACAAAGATATTGGCTGAGTTTTCATTTTCTGCTTGCTTTCCACAAACTCGCTGACGCTGAAGACAACCAGGACACAAAAAGACACTTCTTTGTTTAAAACCCAAAATAAAACCTCGGCGATTTCAGTTGTCTCTTCAAATAAAGACAAGAAATCAGCTTACTTTTTCACTTTGAGGAAGAGATGCTATTTTTGCCTGCCTTTGAGAGGGAATGAAAGGAGCCCAGCAGTCTCTGAACAAACAAATCAAGACGAGACACATCCAGGTATGACAACTGTCTCTTCATATAACTACACGTTTGTTTGGATGAGTTCTAAACTGTCCCATAATGCCAAGTCTCAGAAGATGATGGTCTTTCTCATGTTCCCGACAAATAAAATGTCAACTCTGCTGTCTTCGTGCAGTTCTTGCCAAAAATCACATCGAGTTGTCCAACGTCTCATGTTGAAAGAACTGAAGAAATTAAAGAAAAGCTTAGAATCAAAGCACCCCTGTCCTCTTCTTGACTTGTCCCACAGGCCAAATTATCAAATGATCAAGTCAATTAGTTTGTTGGAAGTCTGAAGATTCTTTGTATCCTGATTCTTTGGCACCACTGGGTTGATTGTAAAAATCTGTTCCTTACTTTAAAATCCCAAAACTTAAGAGACGCTTTAAGCCTTTTGCACAGGATTGGAGTATGGGAAAAGCCAGGCACAGAAGGAGCTACAGTCGTGTAAGATCAGCGGCCCATAGGAATGTAAACGGTGCCAGTAAAAACCACTTTTTCCTCTATAAATGCCACAACGCTCCCAGGATCACTTTGGTGTGTTTAGAAGTCCTGCATGACCCTGAATGGAGCATGCTGTGGGAATGAGTTCATCTGCAGTCTGTGGACGTCTTGTTTTAAATACCTTCAGTCCCATTCGTAATAGCTGCGTGGCTCGTGAAATATTCCGTCTTGCACTCATCGCGAGTCGTTGGGACGGAATTGGGCAGGAATCCCAACGGATCGCGACTAAGCTGATTAAATGTTCCTTTTATAATTGAGAGAGCCAAGATAATTTGCGCTAAATCCCCTATCTTTTTTCTGATGCTACATGAAAGGAAGACAATAACAAACTCAGCATGGTCTAATTATGAGCTATGATGGGAAGAGGTGGCTTAATTTGCAAAGACACTTTAGAGAAGTTCCTCCAAATACCTTGTTCCAGAGAATATAGAGGGAAGCTTTACTTCCTGGTTGCTCCATCTTTCTTGCTTAATACTTCTGCCTTTGACCCATTTCCCTCACAATGTAAATAAAAAAAATATATTTATTAATATGACGTTGTTCACAGAAGTAGGCCAAAGCTTCCCAGTAGAAAATGTTTCTAATTTAACCTTGTGGCTCCAGCTTTGGGCATTTTGCTCTGGTGCCATCTGCAGGTTGCCATCCAGAATGCATCTCAATTCATCTCATTTTAGTGGAGTAATCGACACAAAGTAGTGGGTAGCTATGAAGTGAAACATGTGTTTTTTGTTTTTAAATAATTTTTGGGAATCTGAAAAGTGTGACGTGGTTCAACTTACCCCATACACTCAGTGCTTACAGATTTTGTCTGTAGTTTACAAATCTTAAATATCAAACCAACACTCTGCACTTATATGATGATAAAGTCAACATATATAAATATGTAAGGAGACACCACTCATGTTGTTCGTTTTTTACTGAACAACTGTTTAGCAGTATTTTTTTTAAGTAATTGTACTAATTGTTATCAACAATAAAAAAAATAGGCTGTTGTGACAGGAGTGTCAGAACTAGGAGACGGTGTAAGACTGCCACCTGGTGGACAACCTGGTCATCGGCGCTTTCTTCATGCCGATTTTCAGGCGTGTGTTCCAGGTTTTAGAGACCAGTCATACATGAAGCTGTCCAACTGAAGAGCTCCTTCAGTTGTTGCATTGGATTGTTGCATCATAGATCGTCTACGACTATAACTACCGCCGCTCCCAGCAAACTCGACAAGCTGTTTATTTTCATTTTTTTACACAGCATCCTCGACATATTTCAGCAGTTCTCAGCTTCTTAATATGATGGACATCCGGTTTTGTTTAGCAATTTTATTTTCTACCAGGGCAAGCCGAGTTTGTCCGCTCGGCCCCAACACAGAACAATCGTCACAGGCTTTAACAATGCACACATGGGAAATGAGGGACGAAAACGGTGACAAAATAAGGCAAACTTCTTCTTTGTGAGCTGTGAAAGATCAGCCGGGTGAATACGCCACCCGGCCCAGGGGTGGGCAGCTCAGGAATAAAACGCTTTGGTTTTACTATTCAATTATAATGAACAACAACAAAAAAGTTCAACTCGTTAATCCGTGTCCAATTCAACACAATCCACCAGATTTTGACATCAGATTCAGCAACAAGGCTAATCCAGGCAGCTGAAATCAATAAGTGTAGTCACTCATGTTCACTTTAAAAACAATAAATAAATAAATAAACAAATGAATGTTATTTAGTGTAGCATATTAGTACAATAGCATATTAAGGCCACTGCAGATAGAAATAAAACGTAATGTCTGCCAAAAATATTTGGACATTTTGAGATTAATCTTAGAAATTTTCTAAGGAAAAAACAAACAAACAAAACTAGAAAATTATCAGAGTTTCAAATTTTCTATATAAAAAAAAGGAAAACTGAGTTTGAAAGGATATAAATATGCTTGAAAACAACCCATGTTGAATTTGATCTCATTTTCTAGAAAAGAGGAACTCTGAGCTCGTAAAGTGAAATGTTTGCTGAAAATGATAAAACTAAAACTGTGACATTAACCTCAAATTGGAGAATGAGTTTCAACAGACAAAAATTGGACTTTTGAAAATGTTCTGCTTCAAACTTTCTACCAAGAAGAATATTTGAGTTTGAAATATTTGAGTTGCTAGCTTTGGGATTAATCTAAAAAAAAATCCAAATTTTTTTCCAAAGAAAAGTTCTAACTTTGGACTTTTTAAACTCATAAATTACCTTGTTTTTTTCTAGAATATCTGAAATTTATTGGCAAGAATGTAGTCATTCCCCCAATGCAGTGGCCCTAACATGGCGCTGTATTTTAGTGTAACTTTTCTCATAAGGATAACAAAGGGATGCTAAGGCAGAGTGGTAACTGCTGTAAATAGGGGTTAAAGAAGGCGCGACACTGTGTGTCTGTAGCAGGTTAAATGATTGTCGGTTCATGCAGTTTCACTGAACATATAAACTAAAGGAAACACAATGCAGTTACGCTGGACGTCCATAGCACTACAAGCTAAAGTCCACTTCTTTATAGGATTGCAATCATTTGCACTCTAAACAGTGTTCAGCAGCGTCAGTCTCTTCAGGGGAACAGGGAAAAAAAAGTACTTAAATGATGTACTTCATTGAAAGGTTTCGGATCCTTCTTTCAGCGAGCAGACAGCAACAAGTTGGGGGAGGGCTGCATTACTCGTACTTTTGTACCCCTTGGGTGTCTGTCTGCAGTTCAAAGAGGCAAGGAAACACTAAGCTTCTGCGTAACAGTTTGGCTCCAACATTCAGACAGCTCTGAAGAGAAAACGGGTGAGGAGAGGCGGGGGAAACAAAAAGTGAAGATCAGGCGGCTCCGTTTGCATGCCTTCACGCGGACGATCAAATGCTGCTCTATAAACCTTTAAAAGCCCTCTCTGCCCTTTTCTGTTTCATGGAGAAAATGGTTCTCAAGGACACACGGGTGTTATATCTTTCGATGAACTGGGTTGTCTGTGGAATGTAGTCTGCATTGCTGGTCTCATTACAGTACAGGTACATATCAGGTCGGACTATCTTTAAAAAGTTCATGATTTATTTTATTTACTTCCAGCTGCTTGAAGTAAATAAAATCAATGCAATATTTGAAAAAGATCGTGCTGCTGTGCTGTCAAGGAAACATCTAAGCTGGACCACCACATTGATCCCAAAAGGAAATTAACTGTTTCAAGGTTCTTTGAGGGTTTATCCCGCTTTACCTAAAAGAAACTCTGCTTAATTCTGCATTGAACAACAAATGCCGGCAAATATCTTACAGGCTGTACAAAGTGCATTATTAGAAGGTTGAGTGGAATGAAAAACTGTAGAAAAAAAAAATACAAAGAGGCACGTGACCTTTTAACCCTCCAGGAGTCTTAAGATAACATTAGGAACCCACGAGCTCTTCACCCTGTGCGCGGTCAGGCGGGGGTCGCACTGACCCCGTGTGCGCTTTTACCAGGTTTTTCTTATTTGTGTGTTTTCAGGAACTGACAGTCTGGCTGGTCGTAAGAAAAAATGTTAATCTGATAATTAGCTGCATTTCAGGTTTTTATAAGCTGAAAGCCATAATCCCAAAAATAAACAAAAATAGACTCTTTAAATGTACCATTGCGTGTAAATGAATCGTTTTTTGGTTAATTTTACCAAATTATATTTTTCATTACATTCTAGATCTAGAAACGCATTTTGTGTCTAGCCTAGCCTAGCTTAGCTCATAGTCCTCCAGCAGCAGTTCTTTGCTGTGCTTTGTGACCAGAACATGCAAACGGATCCGTTTCAGGTGGACGTTTTACGTTATGACTGCGTGAGCCGTGGAAGCCTTTCAGATAATAAATATTCCTAGTAAACTGTCACATCGCCGCCTCCTGGTGGAGAGTTCATTCAGGCCTGTTGCGCCTCCTGAGGCCGGTTCCAGGCTGCTCTGAACACACCTGCTCAATGTTTGTCTCACATGATGATGAACACTCAGAGTCTTCCACTTCGTCTTCCCCTTTATCACCCGCCTCTGCTGCTTCTTCTTCTTCTTCCTCCTCCTTCTCTTCTTCTTGAGCAGGCTCTTCCAGCTGGAGCTCCATCGTCTCCTCCCCCTGCGCCGCCACCTCGTCCGTGCCGTCAGCAGCTTCCTCTGGAGCCTCCAGGGAGTCGGGGGAGGGCTGAGTGTCCGCCGTCGTGGGGGTCTGGCTGGCTCCGATCGACTCGATCAGCTCGTCCAGGTTCCGGCCGCGGGAAACGTCTGAAACACAGAGCGGGATTTTAGCGCCCGGCAAACACAAGGCTTCCATGTAAAGCAGGTGCGACACAGAAGTCTGGGCTCCATCGATTCTTGCAAATCTCCCCGACCATCACAGGCAGAAATGCTGCCTCTCATGCAAAACAGACTCCAAGGGAGATTCAAAGCAAACGGCTGCTGGGGCTGGGAATTCAAAAATGATGGTCAAGAAATGGAACGTTCCGGCCGAGTCGGTGAGGAAAGTGTCACCTAAACCAGACTTGTTTTAGGTGACACTTTTGTTACAGTTTTGCTTTCTAGAAGGATTTTTTCCACATTTAATTACAGCACAACTGCTAATTTGCAAGGATTTTACAGGAGCAGTCTTCAACACCCACTGACTTTGAGCTTTTACATGCGTCTCTGCTTCAATAAATATGATCTAATTCCTTCTTTCGTTCACTATTGAGTTACATAGTGGCCTTGTGGGGAGCCAGTCATTTGATTTGGGTATCTTACAGCAGAATAATTTTTTTTTTTTTTTGCTATCCATCGCTCAGACTTTAAAAACGCATAGATTTGTGAGTGATTCTTTGTGTGGAGACCCTACAGGACCCCTGAGCCCGTTCTGCTAGCCCACCGTTGGCGCTCAGTGGCGGACAGTCCATTCCCCTCTTCTTCATCAGGTAGCGGATGGTCTGCAGCTGAGACATGATCTCGTTCTTCTGCTCCTGGGCCACAGATTTCACGCTACGGAGGGAAAGGGGATAGGAACGTGGCATTACGGTGAAATCTGAGATTATACAATCGACTCAAGTGTGTAAAGGTGAATGTGCAATAGAAAACTATTGTTAATGTACACTGATTAATTGGTTTGAGGTCAGGATTAGTGAGAACCTTCTTTATAAATGCTGGCTGCATTCGAGGAAATTAATTAATATCTGCACTTCTGGAAAAAAAAGAAAAAATTGCTGGATATTTTTGTCCCCATTTACAAACTTGCAGAAAGAAAAAACATGGCTACTAGAGCAACAATATGCCATCTTGTACCAAACATTTTCCATTGAATTTCTACTATTTCAAATAATAGAAATTGAAGTGACAAATTTGCTTATTATGTCACTTATTTGGATTCATTTTGTGTGACTTTGGTCACACGACCCAAGCGCAGTAGTTTGGACACCTCTGACCTAATTATACCACAGAACAGAGGAGATGAATTAACACAACTGCTTTAGTTTTATTTCAACAGCGGACACTTCTGTGTGAGGAAACCTGACCAGTTAGTGAGCGGGTCCAGCTGGGTGAGGATGGAGTTGAGCATCCTCTCCGTCTGCGCCAGCCTTTGTTCCAGCTCATTTAACTGGTTCTCTGTGTCAAACAAAACAAGACAGGAATGCAAATCAACCGTAACCACATGGGTGCGGCCGCAACCCAAACAAAGGCAAAGTGGCAAACACACCTGCCTCTGCTGATTTTTTGGCCCCCTTAGCGAACTTATCCTTCTGGGTTTTGTTATCTGAAGACTTGATCTGCGACAGAGAAGCAAATAAGACATTTTGATTTCGGTAATTGCGTCTGAGTGTGGCAGAGCGTGACGCAAAGTGGCTACCTTCAGAAACTTGTATGCCGCAAACACGCCCACTCCGATGGCGTAGAGCGGCATCAGGGTGAACACGTAGCCTTTGTTGTTGTTGGACTTGTACTTGTCGCTCTTCATCTCCTGCTCCAGGCGCTTCTTCATCTGCTGGATGTTGTCGGCGCTCTGATGGGAGCCGGGGGGACCCATGTTGACGGGCTGGCCCCTGGATGCTCCGAGGCCTGGACCTGCAGCGTCACGGAAACGGGGAAACGAGGGGTCTTGAATCGACTGTGCCAAAAACCCAGATAAAAAGAATTGGGGTTGTACTGGTGAATCTGCCCTCAGACCCATTAGCTGCAACAAAATGAAGAGTCTGGAACATTTTTGGTTTCTAAAAGTACCAGCGAACATGATTTGCTTTGATGAATACCTTTAGCTCCTAAGTTTTATGTTCGAGAGAGAAAAAAAAAACATTTCAAATAAATCCCAAAAATCTACTTAAACTCTTGTGTCGGTGTTTGGCTTTAAAAGCTATACATATAAAACTGAGAAACATTCTGATTTTATTCCTCAGCTGAGAACAAAGATGGCGAGCATTCGGGATATTACACGGAAAAGGAAATGAAAGACTTTGTGAGATTCCACTAAACCACTCAGTTTAATGGGTTGGTGTCATGAATCTACTGTTACCTTACACTGAACTGGCTGGAAGTAGCCATTACAGCACTGCAAGCTGCAGATAGCAAGCCAAACATGATTCATAAAACCTCTATAAGCTGTAAACAAACCACAATGGATCTGTGTGAAGAGGGGGAAAGTGCGCATTGAAAACATTCTCATGACAATGACGCCGAGTGCAACAGATTCCTACATTTATTGAATTATTCATGGTGTTCTTCGTCTGGGCAGCTTTACACTCAACATGGATAATATTAGATGCCATTTTGTCATTCTTGTACAATTTAATAGGATTTTGTGATGGACCAACAAAGTTGCGTACGTTTATTTATGAAAAGAAGGAAAATTTTCAAGCATTTGTATTGAGCCTCTTTTAGACTGACATCCATAAGTAAAGTCCTAATTGAATAAGAAAGTTTAAAATTTCACATTAATATAACCCCCCACCATAACTCCAGCCTGTATCTGTATCTGTGACTCAAGATACAATTTCCCACAAATTTTCCAACATCACTGACCTTTGACATTGTGGCTTCACGTCATAAACTTATGGTGCTTTGGAAACTAGCGCAATACATTGTAGAAACCTCAAATTCTAAAATGATATCAATCCAACCTTAGTTTCACTACCTAAATAGCATAATTGCTTCACTTTTTGTGTGCGTTGTAAATTGGTTTGATGCCAATATTCCTATAAAATGATCAAATCTCCACTCACATCTAAACACTCATCTATTTTTAAATGCAAAGTTAAATGAAAAAATATATATATCAGAAAGAAAAAAACACTGATGGCAAACTGAGCACATTTTTCTACAACTTTAACCATTTTACGGCGGCCTGTTTGGACATTTAACCGTTTGAAACCAATAAGGTGATCAGAACCATGGACAGCAGCAACCCCGATGTAAAGTTCAGCAAGTCTGCAACGTCCTCATAAATGCACTTTAAGTTCAACTACATTTAAAATCCAATTTTCTAAGAAAATATTAGAATGCTGCACTATAAAATGACCGTATTTTGGCAACAATATTTTATAAAAATGCGACAACCACACACACACCCCCACACACACACACACACACACACACACACACACACACACACACAGAGAGGACACCAGCGGCCTGGTGGCAAACACACACAAACCAGAACGGGAACTCGCCACCTTTTCTGTTGTACCGATGGTCAGACTTGGTTTCCTTCGCCGCCGTCCCCCCACCGACACCGAACAGCCGCGGTAGGACTACAAACGTGAAGAGCACGGCCGTGAACGCCAGGGCGACTTGTTGAGACGTTGACAACACCATCCCTGCCGCTGGGGGGTTGGGGGGGATAGCCGAGGAACAGCGCCGAACACTGGGCACAAACAGCAGGAAACGGCGCTCGCCGTCAGTGAAGAGCTGCGACGCTGCGAGAATGCGCCTGGAATCAGATACAGGCTGGAGTTACGAGACAAGTGTGCTACGGAAGCTGTCTCTTGCCACTCTAACGCCAAAACAGCTGCGCTCTGTTGCGCACACTGATTGCTTCCGGAATGGAAACCTTCACAATAAAAGCTTCTGATTCAAAACAAATCTTTCAATATGGACAGAATTTTGAAGATGGCATACTTACAATGGTTTACTTATAAATAATGTTTTCAAATGTGAAGATGATTATTTTTATGTATTGTTTGTGATATATTGCTTTAAAAAACAACTAAAACCAATGAAATAAACTAAATAATAATATTTTTTGAAAGAAGGAACAGATGCAAGTCAACATAATATTTTAATTTGAAGGTGTGACACTTAGACATCCGGAGTCGCTGGATCAACATGTTCTTTTTCTTTTTGTTACCACAGCGCTATATCACACTACAGGAGAGACTGCCCTCTGCTGACCAGAAAAAAAAAACCTTGCATGCACAATAGAGGGATGGGTAAATAAAAATGTGTGTGTGTGTGCGTGTGTGTGCGTGTGTGCGCGTGTGTGCGCGCGTGCGTGTATGTGTGTCCGCGCGTCTTAGAAGCAAAATTAAAAAGCTGTCTGATTTTGGTCTGGACTATTTAGTGTTTGGAACTGATCCATATTGGTTTTATATCAAGTTTCATATTGATTATATTATTAGTTTCTGCCTATCTTTCCCTTTGCCCAAACGTAGATCACCATGAACCATTTTTGACACTATCAACTTGTATGTCAAGTACAACATTTCTCTATAGAAGCAGCTCCTGCAGTCATTTCCTTTTTCTATGAATAGCTATTGTTTTTGGTTTCTGTGTTTTTTCTACACAGCAGACATTGTGTGAAAGACTCAGTTGCTCCAACAGAGTGTCTTGCTGCCTATATTTACTAATTCCGTCTGAACAAAACAAAATTACATTTATTACATCTGGTTCTTCTAATTGGGCTCTGCTGATTAAATTGGTTTGATGGAATCTCAGACGTTGTCTTGTATTGAATTACAAGATAATGCAGCAACTGATGATAACGCAGCCACAAGTTGACAACGACGGAAATGTTCATCTTTGGTTCATCGTTGTTTTGTTTTTTTCCGGTGGACTGGTTCAGCTCAACCGCTTCATGTTCTGACAAGGGTAATAAAGGAACTGTGAATAATAATTAATCCTGCAGCAACAGGACAATATGGTAGGAAGACAAGATAAGGCAGAAACAGGGGCAGGGTTATCAGAGTATCAACTTTGACAGTTGGGATGGCTCAGCAAACAAGATGGCCAAGCCCTCTTCCTGAACTCATGTAACTTTGTTGGACCCAACAACCTTTTAAACACCCCTGCCCCACTTTATACGCATTCTCTGAATGAGCCGAGGCCACCACTGTGCTTCAGATATGTTCATCACAATTACAACATTGCGAGGTTCCTGCAGGTTTCACAGTAACGAGCAGTAAAATTGTGACAGGAAAAAAAAATTTGCAAAATGTAAAACAATTTTTTTTAAAAACTGCTGAAGTTACCGTGAATGAAATAAAATCAGTGAAAACAATCATTTGTCTGTTTTATGTTTGCACACTTGGCTCATAAGTTGTTTTCATGTTAATTTTGAAATATTTTTAGATCTTAAAACATCAATAGCAAAAGCCATCCAACAGTGGAAGAAAAAAAAACAACTTTACCCATAATTCTACTCTGTTTTACCGTAGAATTTACGTTTTCTTTTTTCCCCTTGTTTTTTTTAAGTGAAAGCTATTTTTAGGATAATTTCTATACTTTCATGCTGAATTTATTTCATTAGAGATTTGAGGAAGTACAGGATGGAAAAAGTACCACCCGGTGAAGAAGAAGAAGTATTCATAACCTGTCAACTATTTTATGGATTTTTCAATATTCCTTTACGACCCTTCACTGTGTTGCACTTTGTCGAAAACTGGCCAATGCAAATCATTCCGGTTTAGGTCTCCATCAGCTTTACACATCTATACTCACGTTTCTGCCTCTTCCTCACACAACAGGTCTGTTAGTAGGTTGATTTTACATTTAGCTCAATCTGTCTGATGCATTTCTCGAAGCATCCCCGCAGCATGACGTTGCCACCACCGTGCTTCATTCGGGACGTCATTGAACAGCTTGTGCTCTTGGTACACAACTGGGAGAACCTTTTTTTTCTTTTTTTACCGTATTGACCTTAATCGTCCACGTTTCATGACGGAAAGCAAACCCGGATCACCGACCGTTTGCCATAGTGCCTTATGGCTCATATATTAATATACATATAGACCTTCCTGATAAGCTTTATTTGCAGAGGGCTGTGTGTACAAAGTTTAAGACAATCTGTAATCATAATTTTGTAAAGACTTACCCTTCTGACTTTACGGGAAAGCAGATGTTTCTCTGTCAGTGATGTGTTTCAACTATTAAAAAAAAAATCCCTATTACACTTTGCAATTACTTTCTTCTTTGTGTTTGTCTCATCCCGGTAAAATACACCCGGCCAAATGGGGGAAACCTGGTTACGCATCAGGTTCTTTTGACAGCAAGGTGTTGGTGTGCAACTCTCAATTTGCTTCTGCCTCCCGTAAATATCAAACATAGCCAAGTGAAACCTCCAACATGGGAAAACATGGGATGTCCTTGCAGATGGCTTGTGTTGGGGCAAAGTGTAATTATTGGAAACGCTGAAAAAAGGATTCTCACCTTTATCGGACGGAGAAATAGTCCTAACAGAAGTTTTCTACGCGTTTGTGACAACAAATTCAGCTTCCAGGGCGATTTCTAAGTGGAGAAGAGCTAACTAACTGGGCGCCTGGTCTCGATATGGAGGAGCAGTTTGACGTCTCATCGCCTCATTCACATCCGGCCACCATTTCCTGCAGAGCAGCTTGGAATGTGGGAACAACCTACCGGGATGAATCCATCCTCCTGCCTCTTTTCCCTCCGCAAAGAAACTTTCCAAAGAATCTGATCTGTTTGTGACTCATTTCGCTGCTTTGTGGGACGCAACCTAGAGAACACGTTTAAAGGATTTTCAAAATAAAAGATTCCTTGGGCTCAAATGAGACATAAAACGGAAATGTTTGCTTATTTCTGGCGCGGCCGCCATCAACTGGTCCGCGGACCGCTGCCGGTCCGCGGCCCGGGGGTTGGGGATCACTGCTCCTGCTCCACGCCGAGCAGCTCTCTGATAGCAGACAACAAGTTTTATATTATTGTATTATAACCAAAAACAGAGATGTAACTTCTGTCTTGAATGATAGATTAGCAAAAAAAATAAATAAATAGAAAATGATAATTTTTTTTCCAAATTACAGTGAAATACCACTACCTCCAGTGAGAAGTAGTGGCATTTCACTCCCCCCCAACACACCCGCGCACACGAACTGACGCAGAACCAGAAAAGACGAGTTTCCAAATCAGTTGAACAAACTTAAACATGGTGGAGGAAACCCGGATAGAGCGCTGCATGTGATTTAGTGTGCAGTCATGAGAAAAGACATTTATCTGCCTTTAACTAATAGGCCCATACAGGAGGAGCCTATACACGATTTACCCTTTTTTTTTTCTTTTTTCTTGAAAAGCAAAAAAAAAAAAAAAAAAAAAAGCAGAAAAAAAGCAGGAGAAAAGAAAGCGCTCGTGTTTATATTAATAAAGGTCGTTTCCAGGAAGCGATGCGAGCTAAATTTGCAGCTTTGCAGGGCGTCACTTGTCGGTGATGGAAGCTGCTCTGCGGTTGTATAAACTCATAAACGCTCCTCCTCCTGGATGTAGAAACAGGTTGGAGAGGAACACAAGAGGAGAGGAGAACCTGAAGACCTGACCGAGGAGAAACAGCATACTGCTCAAGGTATGGACCAAGCATTCATTTATATATAGGCCTACATATATACCTACAGTATATACAGTATATATACATATATATATGCGTATTATCCTGCATTTAGTAATCAGACTTTAAAGCCATTTTAAGGAATTCTAATGACGTAATTCCACTAGTTTATTTTAATAAAAGTTAGTGGTGGTGGGATGGGGGGGTAATTGCTCGTAACCTTGGAAATTAACTCACAAAATCACCGGGGTCGACGTTTTTTGTGTTTTCTTTTTGTGTGTGTGTTTTAGGAGGGGTTTTGTTTTGTTTGTTTTTTTAGCCTCGAACGCATCAAATGTAATGAAAATAAATTTAAAAATAAATGAATTCATTAACATAAAAAGCTCAAGAAAGACAATGAGCGCGCTGACTTTTTTTCTTTTTCTCTTTTTCTTTTTCTACAAGAAGAGAAACTCTTCGTTCCGCTGGGATCTCTCTCATTCTCCTATATTTTTATTTATTGTTTTTATTTCTTTAATTTTTTTTAAATGATCACCTGAAGTCAGATCGGTTCAGGTTTCTCAAACAGTGGGGTCTTGTGCGAAGGTCGGTTCCGCTCCGCGTCGTGAGCGCGCGCTGCTGTTGTTGATGAGAGGATTAAACACGATTAAAGATTTGCAGGTAAATTAATTCGTTTCCATTTTATGGAGGATGAACATTTTGCTTCAGGCCGCTGAGTCATCATTTCTCTCCTCCTTTATTTCCCCAGCCACTGTTTCCAAATTCTCAAAAATTGTTAAACGCACACTACGTGTTGGAAAACTGTGTTTTTAGTGACTGACTTTTATTTCTGCCAGGCTTAAGTGAGAAACGTTGGGAAAAGAGCGATTCTCTTCGCGTCAGGAATCCTCGTCTATTTATTTACTTTGCAATTTTTTTTTTTAAACAACAAACTGAATGTTACAACCTTGACATGATTATACGAGTCATTTTTACCGAGAAATCGATCAGAAGCGACGTGAAAATGATCAGATGTTTTTATTGATCCTTCTCCAGTCAATGAATGTTTGAATTTGTGACCTGCAGAGGCCCTGCACACATGTTGGGAGGGCCCTATCCTTCTTGTTGTCTTTTCATCTTAAAAAATAAAATGGGCATCATTATTATTATTATTTATTTATTTGTGTGCAATTCTCTGGTTGCAAACGGAAGATTCGGCAAAAGTCTTTTTGTAACAGGAGTTCAAATAAGTGCAGCCTCAGTTTGGCATCTCTATGTGCAGTGTTGGTTTCTGAAATTGTCCTTAATTCTAAAAGCAGCTTCTTCTTTTTTTTCTTAATTTACTTTGATTGGTCCAACTTTGTCATTTCAGACAGTCAAAGTTAAAGCGGTGGCAGATTGTTTTTTTTTTTAAGGATGAAACCATTTTAAATGTTTTTTTTCCCCAAAAAATTGTTTATAGACACTTATTGGTAAGAGGAAACATCTCTATATGTCTTCCACGTCAGAAGTTGTTATTTAACTAAAAACTGTCAAAAGAAGGATAAAGTGCAGTGAGGCTGTAAAATGTTATCTTTATTGGGCGCTTTGAGGTCAAGCACCAGGTGATTAGGGTCCAATCGGCTTCTGTGACGTCCTCCAATTCCTGGATTTATCCATTTGGGCTCAGGAGGAGCGGCCATGTCAAGTCAGGCTTAAGTAATTTGAATAAATGCACATTCACAGATTTCTTCAAGAGACCAATGGGTTCCGTCACAGATCCACCGATGATGAATCACAACAAATTGAGAACATTGAGATGTTGACTACAATGTACCACTGACTGACTCACAGTAACTTAGCAGGTCCCTGCTTCTCTTGTTCTGAATTTTAACTTAATGTTTGAGGTGTGATGTTTCTGTTTCCTGTTTATCTGTTGATGAAAACGCAATCAGAAGATATGACGAGTTGTAAATGAGCTTATAAAAAGCATCTTGTTATCGACCCTCTTGATAGAGACAAAACATAAGTTGATGTTACAATAAGTGCATATCGCGTAACATAAAATTGTCTATTAAATAAAGATTCATATTTTGCCCCTCTCACCCCCCCAAAAAAACAAAACAAGAAAGCCAACGTGTGAGGAAAAAAGAAACGAAACACTGAAGCTGCATTGTCATGCTGTGGAAATATTTTCTTGTAGAGGAATACATGTGCTGTCAGAAAAATGTGTGAGAACACACGACTATTTGTCTGAGTTGGTCAAATACGTCAGTCCTGACATTAAATAATAACCAAATCCAAAAAAGGGGAACGCAACTGAGCATGTCTGCCGACTGCCACCTCCTGTGTTGTGCCAGCCTGCTCAGAAAACACATATTGCCCAGAAAAAAAGGAGAAAAAATGATTCCATTGGGAGCTTCGGCAGAATTGTTTCCATCAAAGCGTATTGGAACATCCTAATCAAAGTCCAGTGCAGGGGTATCCAAAGTCTGGCCTTTGTAATTCAACCACAAATGAAATAGACTTTTAAAAAATTGAACAATTGTACCACATTTGGACACCACTGGTCTAAAGCCACCTGAGAATCAGTGGTTTGAAAACTGATGTTATTGATGTAGAAAACGATGACATATTAAACCAGAAATAGTAAATTAACAATAAATGTAACTGACCTCAGAGTGTTCATAGGGTAAATAGTAGATAAACAAAGTTGTGTTCAGAAATGAGAACCCAAATGACGGCATAAGCTAATCGCTGAGAACACTGAGTGCATATTTCTCCTCGACTATCAAATTCATCTTATTGTTTTTAAGGAAAATGGAGGCCCAAGTGTCCAAGGTGGTGCTGTCTTTGGACGCGAAAGAGGTGGACTCGTTCAAAGACGGAGTGAGCTTCAAGAAAAACCCAGAAGACGGGAGGTGTTACATCATCTACAAGAGCAGCGGCGGCTTCAAAGCCTGCAAGAATCAGTGCAAACACCAAGGAGGGCTGTTCATCAAGGACATCGAAGACCTGGACGGCAGGTGCGGCCATTTCCCCAGAACCAAGCAGCAGAGTTGAGATGAGACTAAGTCCAGCTGCTGTTCTCACAGGACGGTGAAATGCACCAAGCACAACTGGAAGCTAAATGTGTCATCGATGAAATATGTGAACCCGCCCGACAGCTTCCTGCAGGACGAGCTGGGTAAGATGAGCGCGCCGCAGTCTACCAAGTCGCAGGTGGCTTGTGTGTGAATTGAGAGTTGCGTTGAAAAATGCAAACACCAGCTGAATCATGATATTTGGAAAAAAAATGTGTGTATGTGCTTTCAAAAATGCAGTTTAGAAGTTTTTCTGGGTTGATCTGTGAAGACTTGACATATGCAGCGGATTCTCTTCTCTTTTTGATTTTTCAAAGCAGATGTGCATTTAAAAAAATGATAATCAGCCAGTTTGAGATTATTTTTTTATTAAAAGTTTGGCAAAAAACTTACAATAAAGGGGCTGTCGTTTTTTGATTTTTGCGTTCACAGAAGTTGAAATGTTGGATGATGGAGGCATGCAGCTGGTCGAGCTGAGCCCCATCGACCCCTGGCTGGCTGACCCCAGAGAACCTCTGGAGCTCCAGGAGGGAGAAGTTAAAGTAGGAGCTCTGACCTTCTACACTTTGACAAAAAGAAAGCAACAAAAAAAAAAAAACATCCTAGTCCTAAAGGAATGAACGCTTTAACCTTTCCCTCCAGATAACATACCTCACCCACGCCTGCATGGAGCTGCAGCTGGGACCGAAGCGCTTCCTGTTTGACCCCTGGCTGCAGGGCCCCGCCTTCGCTCGAGGCTGGTGGCTTCTCCACGAGCCGCCGGCAGACTGCCTGGACCGACTCTGTGCTGCAGATCTCATCTACATCAGCCACCTGCACTCCGACCACCTCAGGTGCACTTTGGACATTTTGGAAGCGTTCCCTGTTGCCGTGTCCAGATACTGCAGAGCAGGGGTGTCCAAACTTTCTCCCCACCAGAATTATGTCAAAACAACCGAAATCAAGCAAGCAAAACTAGTCCAATTTCTTTTGTTTGGGTTTGTTAGGCATCGTTTTCTGTGATAAAAAGTATCCAGTTTTCAAATTCTTTTGGGCTCGACGGAACAAACAGGATTTGGGTCACTTTCTGTCGCAAGTTTAATGAAATAAATAAAAGCTGATTGGCTGCAGCACAGTCCGGTTTATAAGTAAAAGTCTCTGGATCGATGAAGTTCTACTTGTGATGAAAGCTTGGTTCCACTATGTTGCCATTCGCTTAAAGTTGTTAACTATTAGGGGGTTTTTTTGTTCGTTTTTTTCAGATTGAGACCGTATAGTTTGCCACTTCCTGGAGTTATTATTTTGTAGAACTGCCTTTTATTTTAAAAACATCTCCGCATATCTAGACACTGAAATTGCCACCAATTCTAATAATAAAAGCTTAAGCTCCAGAAGGTTGGATAAGAAGAATCTCTGGACAAATTTCCAGTCGTTTAGGGGTCTGGAATTTGACTAGACCACTGTAACACATGAACACGCCTTTGTTTAAATCGCTGCCATTATGGTCGTCACCCAAAGCCTAACCACATCAATCCTCCCACCTGCTCTGAATGACGTCCTTTGACTGCTGAACACTAATGTTTCAAATGATGGTTTTTGTTGTGGGAAACAAAAACCATTTTGTTTGACATTTTCATCACGTCGGTAAGTTCAACTGAGTGGAGGTTGACAAAGGGGAAAAATGTACAAGTTTTTCCTCAATGTTTACAACACTTTGTCACCCATGAATAAATTTTTTTCATTTCAGCTGATGTTCTGTGCTGCTGTGTGAGAGTTGTACAGTTGACTGATGAAATGCAAAGATTAGATGAAACCAGTTCATCTTCAATACAAGAGTTTCAATAGCATTTGGGCGGCCACTCCACTAGAGCCATTAGTATGCCATGTATAGTGGTTGTTGTATACTTATACTTTTAGTAACAATGGCAAATTATACTGATGGTAGTCAGTTATTTTGACCATTAATATCAAGTGATCATCTACAATAAGTATGTAAAATTGGGGTTTGAGCAAATCTATTCTGCTTCTCTTCCAGTTATCCCACTCTGAAGGTTTTGTCAGAACGGAGGCCAGATGTTCCCATATACGTTGGTGACACATCCAGACCAGTCTTCTGGTTAGTAAAACGATAATTATATAGTTTCATTTATTGTCCTATGATGTCGACACAAAGGGATATACTCAAGTTGACCTATTGTCCTTCCTTAACCAGGTTGGGGTCGGTCTATGTGCGGCACGAAACATGTCAATAACAATTCTTTGCTAAACAAATCATCAAAATACATTCAAGTTGAGTGACATTTTGAGAATAAAATGTAGTAAATGTTAACTGCTGGTGGGACTTGATTAAAAATCAAAATAATTAGAGCTTTTGTAATTAAATATTTCATTAGAATTATTCTCATATTACATTTCTTTGCGATTACAAAAAAAATGTAGATTGAAAATTATTACAAAAACTTCTTCATTCAGCAAAAATCCTCTCCTCCCACCCCTTTTATCTACTTTGATGCAACAGGAATTTGGAGCAAAGCAAAGTCAAGCTGACCAATATCAGAGTCACTCCTTTTGGTGTCTGGCAAAATGTAAGCTGTTTTTTTTACACCGTTTATTAGTTTTGACCAGAAAAGGTAGTCGGCCGTTTTGATTAGTCGATGCTGATCTGATTTTGCCTTTTACAGGTTGATGATAACCTAAGGTTTATGATTCTGATGGACGGTGTTCACCCTGAAATGGACACCTGCATCATTGTTGACTATAAGGGTACAGAAGATTTTCCCTCTGTAAAACTCTGTCTGACTTTTTTTTTTTTTTAAAGTTTACTACATGTAAAAAGGTTTTTTTTTTTTGCAGGTCACATGATCCTGAACACGGTGGACTGCACCAGGCCAAATGGGGGCAGACTACCAGAAAAAGTGGACCTGATGATGAGTGATTTTGCTGGTGGTGCATCTGGATTCCCCATGACATTTCACGGAGGGAAATACAGCGGTGAGCTGAACACTGTGCAATGCGGCCCAGAAAATATAGTTGGCTACAAATTATAGAAAATAAAATGAAAGAAAGCCAAATACCATCAACAGACTGCGTTTATTCCAAAAGGTGATTCTTTGTTGCAGTGTCTGAGATCGGTCTGGTTCAATGACTGTCTTTCTAAATTCTCCCCATTTGTCTTTGCCCACATTAAATTTTGAGTGAACAATGGCCACTCAAAAACATTTTGTTCCTGGCAGCAAAATATTTTTAGACAGAAGTTTTATTGATGAAGACTCAAGTAGGAGAACAGAAAGCCCAGTGAGACTAACAGTGAGCCTTGGGGAACACCTTTCGCAGAACAAAGACGTGTTACAGCAATGGCACAGATCACCAAAATGTGAAACCATAGAGAAATAAAATGATGTTAACAGTTGCCAAATATTATGTTGGCAACTATATGTTGGCATGCCATCAAACGAAATGTAATGGGTCATTCTGATCTAAAAGGAAGGAAGGAATGCAGATTTGGAGAGCAGTGGAATAACAATCACTAAGCTGTCGTAAACACCCATCTAGCCAAATGTTCCAAGGTCCCAGCTGTGGACAATTTCAGGAAACGCAATTCCAGAGATCTGTGTCAACCAAAGCAGGAACTGGACTGGCTAAGAATGTCACACACACAGACAGATTTGAGTATAAATACGCGCAGCTCTCTGCGAGAGTCCAGTGAGAATATCTGGTTTGTGTAGCGCACCAGAATCCTCCAACACTGGTCTGAAATAAAGCAGACCTAAACGGAGTCTGGTGCAATGATTGCTTTGTCATTAGCCAACCTTAACTCCCCAACAAAACAAATCATAAAGCCAAAAATATTTTTGTTGCACACAACACTGTTGACATTGCACCAATGGTGATGTGTCCTCATTCTCAGACTCGTGGAAGGCACAGTTCATCAAGAACGAAAGGACGAAGCTACTGAACTACAAAGCCACGCTGGTCAAATCCCTGCAGCCGAGGATCTACTGTCCCTTCGCTGGATATTTTGTGGAAGCTCATCCATCAGACAAGTTGAGTTCACACAGCAGTGTTGGACAGTACCAATGATTGATCCACCACGGTCGAATGAGAAGCCCTAATAGCATCTAAGCACTTTATCTCAAAGATAACGAACAGTATAGATAAACCAAACAATGGCACCTAAACAGTAATGTATGAACAGTTGGCTGTAAACTTTAACCCTGCAATATGTTTTTTTTTTTGTCTTCTAAATGGGTGAAGGTACATTAAGGATACAAACATCAAAAACAGAGCAGAAGACCTCAACGCACTCATCAATCAGCTTTCACCGGACACCAAGACGTGGACTCCCAAACCCGGCGCTGTGCTGGACCTTGGCCTCGCACTGAAAGACCCCACAAGCAGGTTGACCATGACTCCAACTTGATTTGTGGGATGCAGTTGTGTTTTCATGTTGTGCAGGAACATTGGCTCCAGTTGAGGACAAACGTAAATGATTAACTTTCAGGTGATGGTTACAGTAAAGGAACCATCACTTTCTAAATATTATATCAAGAGTGGAAATGGTCTCTCAGTGATTGGCTGAGAGCGCTTAAGATAAGCTTCAAATGTCAACTTAAGATGGTAGATAAAGTATAACATAAAGGTTAGGCTGCGATGTGCAAATAGGCCAGAACAAAGGACTATTTGAGTGTTCAACTTTAAGGTTAAAAACGTCAGGTGCCATGTAGAGTCCAACATTAGTCATGTGTAGTTAAGTTGAAATCTTAGAAGTACGATTCATGCATTTGCATTCGACCTTATGTATGTTTTCAGCCAGTCGCCTTTACGTGTCACATTTCAGGGTTTTCCCAGTGCATTATAAGCCTGGCGGGCCACCAGGCTTTCCTTGTGCCCCCTCCAGGCTTAGCATTGCTTATTTTTTAAAGTCTTATTAAAATGTTTGCATTTTTTAAGACTTTATAGTTGGTGTTCGGGTATTAATTGTCCAATCTTTTGACAAGATAATAGTCAAGTGATATTTTCAAATTTTCTGTCAACGTTAAACATTCAACTCAAAACTATGACGGGACGCTGGATGAATAACTGCTCCAGTGTCCAATCACCAGGCGTAGCAAGGTTGTTTTTTTTTAGGGGAAACCTTGCGTTTATTTAAGATAGTCCTTGTGTATGTCTGAGAAGTTTCACATACTAAAACTATTTTTCACCTGTTTGTGAAAAGGAGAAAGTACCCAGAAAGAAATGTTGACTCTAAGATGTGAAAACAAAGAGCGGTCAAAATGCTACATCAAGCTTTCGTATTTTTTTTTTCTTCACTGCTTCCTTTGCTGTGATCAATTCCAGTGAGGCCATTACTGATCCTCCAGCCAACGCCAAAATCTACAAGGACAGCTGGGAGTTTGACTTGTATGTGGATGAGCTCAACAGCGCCATCAGCAGTGAGATATTCAAGCATGAGAGCTGGATCCAGTTTTATTATTGCTGGGCAGGCTTTCAAAACTACAACCTGGTGGTGCGGGTAAATATTATTTGACCAGAAGGATTCACCTCCAATCTTCTTCAAAAACCTGCTACAGAAACTTGGGTTTTTCCTCAACCTTTTTTTTTTCTGGCTGCTGGATTGCTTGATTTTCTTCTGTATGTTTTGTTACGAGAGATGATGCCTTCACTCCTGATCCCTTTCATGTCCAAAAGTTAAATATTTGAAACTGACATTTGATTCATCTTCACTGTAACTAATCATCACTTAGATGATCGAAACAGATGACAGCTTTGAACCAGTGAGCAATGGCTATGACTACCTGGTGGACTTTTTGGATTTGTCATTTCCTTCCACAAGACCAGAGAGAGAGCACTCCTACATTGAGGTAAGCTCCTCTTGTGTAGCGCGAAGTAAAAAAAAAGGAGCTGAACGTACTTTTAGAACTCAAAATATGCATGGGCAAGAGAATCGCAACTGCCCACGGACAACTAAAATCATGCCTACGGTAATAGTAGTGAAAACCGCTTTCACACGACTCCAGAGCATCTACTTACTGTACTTCCTTGTCTCTGCAGCCAATCAGCGGCAAGAAAAATAAACCGCACTCCTGGTTCACTGGCTGCTTTGTGACTGGAAATGTTTTCATTTCTGGAAGAAATTAAAGATCGCTTACATCTGCGTCTGTATCGCATCGGCTGCAGTTTTGTAGCATGAAGACGTAAATAAAAACTTTTCAGAACTGATTTAACCTGATCTAACCTGCCATCTTCTACATTTGCCTAGAAGAGTGTCTGACCCATTCACGCAATATTTTGGACAGACGGACTCAACGACCTCATAAGGTCACATACAGTAGACAGTAGATAAAGGGATAAATGATGTTGCTGCGTTCTGTAATAAATTAGCAAAATAATACTGATGTTGACTGAAAGTGGCCTGGGAACAGAACCTGGAGCAACCCCTCATATGATCATTGATACCAAATCACACAAAGCTGTCCTTTAAGTAAGATCTGATATATCAGGCTTACATTGAAGGCAACTGGACTTGCACAGACTTAGTCAGAAGCAAGTTGATGACCAGCTCATTCCTCACCTAACTTGTTGGGTCTTTGTGTTCTGGTCACTTGCACACAATGTCATGTTAATCAGTCAGTTATCAGTACTGCAGGTATTCCTCACAAATTCTTCAAGGTATGATTGGTCTGAACTATGTCTACTGGAGCTAAGAACATTAACTCTGCGGCTGTTGCTAAAAAAGGCTTTTTCTCATATAGATATCCACTCATAGACATATTGAAGGTACGAAACTTCAATGCCACAAGGTTTTGAAGAAGATGTATATTTAGTCAGCCGTGTTTTGTGTGACTTGCAGGAACAGCCTAAAGTTTCTCTGTGTTTAACTTTAAGGTTAAAAACAGAATCGGCGTGATGAGGTACGTGGTTCTGCACGGCGGCCTCTGGGACGACCTGTACATCGGCTTTCAGAACCGCATCAGCCGAGATCCCGACATCTACCACCACAAGTATAGACACGCAGGAAAAAATGATTTTTTTTTTGACATATTTGCATTTTATAGCTTTTATTTCTTCTAACCCATTTAGCTAATTTTTCTCTTTTTGTCGTTTCACTTTGGCCTTCAGGTTCTGGAACCACTTCCAGACCCAGTTACCTCTTCACAGACCAGACTGGGACCAGTTTCTGCAGCAGGTCCCTCCCATCCAGGGGATGAATTGGAACTGTTCCATTTTATAGATTTGGAAGGAGGAGATGTGAAGGAAATGAAGTCTCATGGAAGTCGTCTTCCCAATGGAAATTCACTGTGTGGAATTGTTTTTATCATTATTTTCTTACTTATTCAGTTAGAAATGACTTAGATATATTTATGCTTGAAATCAAAATGCAATGCATCAACTGCGTTCCATGCAGAAAGACACCAGGCCAGGAATCGAACCCAAGGCAACAGTGCTACCAACTGTGCCACTGTGAAACCCTCGCTGAGTTGAAGGTGATGTTTGTATGGTGTAACAGTAGATCAGGCAAAACCTGTCCTGGTTCAGGCGAGTCGGGAATATCGACGTTATTTCTCAATGCCACAGTAATCAGAGGGAAGTTTTAGAGATATGTGACTTTATTTAACTCAAACGTTTGCATATCTTTTGTCAAATTGCCGTTTACAACGATTTGAAATTCCTCGCCATGTTTTCAACACACTACACACCCATTTTGGTAAAACCAAACTGGACTGTGCGACAGTTGGACTCTCACGTTGTTTATGCTTACCTATAATGGTTCAAACAGATGAACGTGGCGCCTTAAGGCCCTGGACTTCTGGGCCCGACCGGCGTTTGAGGTCTTAAATGCTCCCGCAGCTGTGCCTTAAAAAGCCATGGCAAGATCAGACTTGTCTGAAATTTTTAATCAACATAGTAATCCTATGGCATACAAATCTTCTCTCATTATTTTGATAATTAGTAAAAAGATTGTCCTAATTTGAACTGGCCGAAAAAAAACAGGAACATTTCATCCTATTTAAGCTAATATAGTCAAGAAAAATAGGTTGTCTTTTTCTTTTTTAGACTGTGCTTGACTTGTTGAATGTACTCTAATAATAATAATTGTATAAGCCCTTTATATCTCAAAGGGCTCATTCATACCCTGGTGAGGTGAGCTGCTGGTTTGTAGCGACAGCTGCTCTAGGACGTTCTGACAGAAGGGGAATTTTGCGCCATCTGCAAAAAAAAAGGTGATGAAGCGTTTTGCCTGAGGACGAGCAAACTGGGAATCAAACCAGCAATCTACTGATTACACAGACCAAACTCCTGTTACCGTCACCACCATTGGTTCCTCGTTTGTATTTCTTTATGCTTTCAGGAAATAAATCAACTTGAATCCAGATTTGGTTATAAGTTGACTGATTCTTTTGGCAGTGGACTCCCAAACTTGGTGCTGCGCTGGAAAGACCCCACAAGCAGGACGACCATGAGTCAAAGTTGCCCGTGTGTTTTTATGTTGGGCATTAGCTCAGGCTCTGGAAGCAGCGAGCTGTTTAGAGTGAGGTCAGAGCTATACCTACTTCCTCCACCGTACATTTTTGTTTCAGCGTTTCCAAAACAAAGGCATGCAAACAGAAAATGACTCAGATGACAAGATACAGAAGTCTGTGGCGAGTTCCAGGAAGACTTCAAAGACTCATAGATAGAAACAAATTTGAAAAACAGGTTTTATTTTTGAAAAGTTGCAGAGCAGATAGTCACTCATGCCATATGCAAAGAGAGAAAAGATAGAACAAGGAAATGCTAAAGAAACCTGCTGTTCATTAGGAAAGCTGCACTGCATTATTGCACCATGGCAAGGTACTTCATGCAAAAGGAGCACCAACCAATTATTGAGCCTTTTCAGTAACTCTACCTTTTTGCTTTACATATGCTCCATATTTGAAGATATGAGATGAGAATGGGCTTAATAAAGACGTTTCCTGCACTTTTCATATCTATTAGTAAAGATTTCTAATGAATCCATATAGCATATCCTTTTCACAATCACAATATTCTGCTGAACTTTGTGTAGCGCTTTCATATGAAAAGCCCAGGGAAAAAGAAAAAAGAAAAAACCTTCACATTTGGCCAGGAGCGAATGAATACTTTGGCAAGGCACGACACCAAACCACCGGCGTTGCACCCACTAGTCTTGTGTGTTTTAATGCCCACACTTTTCCTGGCGTCCAGGGCCCGTTCCATCTGCTGGGCGCTGGTGCAGTTGTGGCGCAGACAGAGTAATCCCAGACAGCTTCTGGAGAGCGTGCTCAGCGGAAACAGTGGCGCCCATTCATCTTGAGAGTTTTACTGTGAAGCTTCAGTTGTTTTGGGGCACGAGCCAGCATGAGTAAGCTATTAGATTATTTTCTCAAGACATTTCATTGGCTGTTGAGTACTTCCAGTCTGACGGCTTAATGATCATGTGACAGAAAGTTTGGACAACCCTGACTTACAACCAAGTCGATTAGATGTTTTCTATAATTATGTAATAAAAGTATTTTAGTTTATGCCTCCTGCTTAGGATAGGAACTTAATGGAGGCTTGAGTTTCAGAAAGAGCTCAGGCAAGCAGTGGAATAAATGGAGGCAAGAAATGACATTTTCTTTGGAGTCGAGAGCAGGCAGAGCAGAGATGAAGTGGCAGACAGGAAGAACAACTTGAGGAAAAGAGTCAGCCCAGTCCAAAATAATCCAAAATATACTGTGAGCTTTAAGTCTTGGTGGCAGCAGAAACTCCTGTAAACGCGCCACAGACGAGCCAATCCATCCTAGTCCAGCTGAGCAACAGCAGCATCCAGTTTGTTTTCACCAAGGATCTGAAAAGTAACTCTGTGCTGTTTAACACCAATACATCTAGTCAGAGGTTCACTTTCTCTTTTGTTTTTCAACTCAGGAGCAATTAAAATGGTTCAATCGGTTAATCATTGCAACTCCATCGCTCTTGGAGTTAAGTTGCGCGGTACGCAACAACCCTAACGTTTGAGAGCTGGATCCTGTTGGGCAGGCTTCTGAAATTACAACCTGGTGGTGCGGGTGAATATACTTCACCAGACGGATTCACCTTCAAGAAACGTTTGGCTCTTGATTCATTTTTTTTCCTCACATCTGCTATTTTGCTTAATTTCAACAAGTTGATGTTTGTTTGTCTTTTGCAAGCAGGAGTTAGAACCATGATCAATTGTGGCTTTAATAGAAATGAACAAATCCACAAAGTGCAAGGCAACAACTGGAGCGACTGGAAGCGCGTCGCAACAAACTTGGCAGGGAGGATAATGAGTGGATCTGGAACAGATCTGACTGAACTGTTATTCAGTCAGGGAAAGTGGTTGAATGTTAACAGGTGGCAGCAGAGGGAAAATACACAAACCGTGGAGATTGGAAGGGCAGTGATAATCAATACACTGTAAAAATTTGACCTGCTTCCTCTAACAAGGCCTGTGACACACGCTGTGATTGTCAGGTTAAAGGAACCTGAGCACCTGCTAGAAAAGAAGAGAGACATAAGTCATATTTATTCCCCACTCTAGAGGAGGGGGGGGGGAAAAAAGACATCTCAGTCTCCTAAACATATAATTCATATCACAATGTATATTGTGATGGGTGGTGGTAACAATATTCATTACAATATGATTTGTGTAAAACTTAAAATAAAAAAAACAACAACAAAAAACACATTCTAATTGAATGGAATGTATTTGTATTTGAAAAAAACTTGAGTTATTTTCTTCTGACTTAAAGAGGAGGAATCTAGAGTTATAGATCTAGAGTCAATGCACAGTTTCGGTTTGAAATCAGGCGCGAAACCTGGGAGTAGTGATGAACTCTGACCTGAACCTTCAGAGCCACATGAAGACAGTTTCAAAGTCAGCCTTCTATCACCTGGAGAACATTTAGAGGACTCATGTCTCAGCGAGATCTAGAGAAACTCATCCATTCGTTTATCTTCAGTCGCATTGATTACTGCAACAGCGTCTTCACAGGTCTGACTAATAAATCAAACAGCAGCAGATGATACAGAACGCTACTGCTCAGGTTCTGACTAAAACCAGGAATGAAAGAAGTCGGGCAACAGAAGCAGAAGGTATAGTCTGTCTAGTAGTACTCTCTGCTCTTGTGTCTATTTTTAGACGGGTCATTCTCTGCAGCCTAGAACTCCACCTACTGGCAAAATAGGAACACTGCATGTGGCTCAAAAGTTAATGGTGTATTTACAGATGCAACAACTCTTGTGTCTGTGGTTTCAGCCAGATTATTATCTGATTTATGGTACATTTAAAAATAATAATAAAAGAGTAGATATTCAAAGAACAATTTTTTTTTCTGAGAACATTTAAGAAGCTCTGGAGCTCATTCAGACAGAGTCAGCAGGAAGAGAAAGGACAGTACCAAAATACCAGTAGTATGTTATATTATCTATGTGCAAATTGTGGGACCACACAAACTCGTCCACGTTTAATCACGTCCCTATCAAGTTAAGCACGCACAACAGGGTGTACCATTGAGACAACAAAATGCACGGTTGGACCTATAAATCCATCAAAACGTCTCAAATCTGCACTTGTTCTTGCATCTATATTTAAAAAAGGTTTGGTCTTTGTCACTTTTTTCCAACGTAATCAAGAGCCTCTGAGGAAGGTCTGGAAAGTCACTTGTGGCTCAAAAGTGACTGAACTGGATTTCCTTTTATTTTCATTGTGCACAAAAAAGCACCACAAAATTTACATATAGGAACTCTCAAAGACAATTCAAACAACTGAATAAAATAATAAATAAGTATATCTCAATAAATATAAATGTAACAAATATAGTACATTCACAAAACTTGGATGATCAAATGAATATATAAAGATTAAGTTTTAGATGGATTAGCTGTACTCGGGGCAACAGCAGCATTTGGGTAGAAACTTTTTTAGTCTGTTTGTCTTTGACTTTATTCCCCTCAGGGGCAGGAGTTTGAAGAGGTGGTCGCCAGGATGTGAGGTGTCCTTGGTGATACTGCAGGTTCTCCAGGTGGGTCCTGTGGATCTCCTCCAAGAGATGTAAGAAGGCAGCCAATTAACCTCTGGGTGGCATTTCTGATCCTTTGGAGTTGCTTTCTCACGGTTGATCTTCCTGAGAGGCCTCGGGAAGTACCGATTCTGTTGTGCTATCTTCAGGACTGAGTTAGAGTTCCAGGTCAGGTCTTCACTGGTGCCCAGGAATTTGAAATCTCCACCCTTTCCCCATTTATAGCGATATTCTCAATAGCATGTTCAAAAGCTCTTATAAACGATCTATATGAAAGGGGGTCACCTGTAAATACTGGAATTTCTCTGTGAGGAAGTCGAGACATACTATGTTGTTTTATGAGCATCTCAGTGTGGTGATTTTGTTGCTGCAGAACCTGGTACAGATCATCTGAAAAAGAGTCACAACATTGAGCATGTGTTGAAATGCCTTTTAAGCGAGATTTCCTTTTGCCTGTTGTTCATCATCTAAGAACATTTCTTGCCTTTCTGATTTGCTCGCAGAATGAACAGATTCAACTCTGAGCCTTGACATGGCTTGTAAGGAATTAATCTCAGACTTCTGAGCATCTTCATTCTCTTCATACACCTTTAATTTTGCGTCTGAAATGGCAAGCTTCATTTCAATTTCTAGTTGGCGCTTTTCTAAAATTCAGACGAGCTTCTTTGACTTCAATTGCTTCTTTCTTTTTCATTGCTGCTGCTTTTGCTAAAAGCGCTTCACTTTCTGCTTTAATTTTCAGTCATATTGTACTTGTACTTGATCCTGGCGATGTACTCCTTGCAACCGAGTTAGCCTTTGAAACACTGTCGTGTGGATGTACATCTTCCTCAGGAGAGCATTTTGCATCTTTTATCCATTCTTTAACGCGTTGTGAGAAAAGTTTGAACCCAGAATGTCTACCCTCGAACACATCTTGGTCTTCACGTTTATCATCTTCACTTATCAGTTCGTAATTAATGCGTTCATACTCCCTCAGGCATTTGACAAACACTGGAAAAGATTCTTCATTTATGAAATCAGCATTGCATTCATTCTCTTTCAATCTTTCATTTTGTGGGCTTTGGCTCCCTCTTCTGCCCGACATGCGCAACTTCGCTTTCGTCTGCCATATAATCCCGCTTTATTATACTTTTAAATCTTTACACATGCACCGTGAGCCTCCAAATAGCTTCTTAATCTTCTAAAAAGTCCACAAATGTGTGTGACAAGAGTTCCTTCATGTGCAGGGTTTCTTATCCATAGTTCACGGGATTTATCGAGTTCACAGATCACGTGCTCGGCTTCGTGAAAAAGTTAGCTTAGCAACCGAGCTGATGCGGAGGAAGCTCTTGACAACAACGTTGTACTTACAGATTTTATTACTTCAACTCCCCCGTTTCCTTCAGCTGAATTGAATCTCCGTTTGTCTGTAAGTCCTCTTTTCGTTCTTATTTAGTCTCGAAAGAGTCCTCCCATGAGAAAGTCTTTTGACTTGGCGTAAGAGCGGCAAGCTCTCACTCGCCTTAAAGCTCCTTGGTACGCGACACATTTCTTTTTAAAAAATAAAGCGGTCCTGAATCCAGCGGCCATCTTTAAGTCTTTACTGATCCAAAAGAAAATAAAAATAAACTGATTCAAAACAAATAGAAAGTGACGGTCAAAACACCGGGCTACTCCAAGTGCCAGGCTTCTACAATGGGCAAGCAATTCTGGTCTTTATAAACTAAGGAGACAACAACCAATCAAAAGGCGCCACGTAACAAGCTTAAGCACAAAACAATTATCTTTTTCAAATAAAAGACTAAAAAATTAAACACATAAACACAAAATAACATTTTGTATTCAGTTCTACACTTTACTTTGCCAAGACACATGAAAACAAAACTATATCTTGGCTTTTTTTCTATTCTTCCTCCTTCTTTTCTCCCCCCTGAAGGTTAAGTGCTCTTTTGAGACATTGTTTTGCTTACTTAACTTCTGACCAGAGCTTTGGATGTGTGGATGGATGCGCTCTGCACTTTGCACGGCAGCTCGTGACACCGGCTAAGCGTGCGGTACCTACCGCGGCCTCCAGGGGGCTCCCAAGAGCAATTTGTTATTTTTCAATTTATCCATTTAATAATGATTTCTACAAATATCATTGTAAAAACCAATCACTTAATTGTGAAATTGTGTGTTTTTTATATCATGATGAGATAGAAATTACTACTTAAAAAAAAAAATCAGCTCCACTGAGAGGGTCCCTTAGTGGCCCTAAGTGGCTGCTTAGTTTGCTTATGCCCTGGGCCGGCCCAGACACAAATACAGCCACATGCCCAACACGCAAAAACCACACAAACCTAACCCACACTGATATACCACATGTGCATGACACAGAAACCTCAGATCTGATCCACAGAATGCCCAACTTGTGGGCACAATGCGACACACAAAAACTTAGATTTCTTCATGCTTATGTAACAGGTGTTATGTTACGCTTATGGTCCTGCACATCACACTGTGTTACACTTACTTACTCATCATGTAAGAATGTGAGGCAGATTGCAACTTCAATGTAATGTTGTATATTTGAAAACAGTGCTGCACTTTTCACACTTTGTTTCACTTCACTGTTTCAGATATATCCGACACTAACAGGATGTAGCAAAAGAGAAAGCTCAATTTCTGTTTTCATTTTTGCAAACTCCCATCTTTTGGCGATCTCTTTAACATTTTATCACATAGCTACTTTTTAAAAAGCTGTTAGATGAGTTTGACGCACAAGATACATGTAGAAATTACCCAGTAAGATTTCAAATAAACCACCCTACATCCTCTTTCTGAAGAGTGAATCATTTCCTGTGCGAACTGTAGGGTGTTTTACGAACAGACTGTGCTTTGCAGAGAACTGGAGATGTTGCTGTGGGTCGTTCTTGTTCTGGATTTGGGGGTCTCTGCCTTGACGCTGCCAAAAATCACAGATGAGAATTTCATCGGCGAGTGTGTGGAGGAGCATAACAAAGCCCGCGCAGATGTCAGCCCACCTGCAAACAACATGCTGTACATGGTGGGTCCTGCACATCACACTGTGTTTCACTGCCAAGAAAGGAGAACAAACTGGTGGCTTTACAGGATTTCATTCATTAAACTGAAATTTGGTTGTAATCAAATGGGAAAAAAGTGAGAAAGTATTGTAATTTATGAAAATTCAACAAGTGACTGAAAAGTATTCTTATCAACACAGAGGCAGCTGTAAGTGAATTCACATCGATTAAATCAATGAAACCACCAGTTTAGTTCCTAAGCATCACCTAGAATTAGTTTTAATAACTTCCTGTGTGACACTTGAAAGAAACTGAAATAAAAATAAAGTGTTGTTTCATTTTGTTTGAACGTGTGGATGATGTCGAAGTCGTGGGATGAGGCGTTGGCTATTACCGCCAGAGCGTGGGCAAAACGTTGTCAGTTTAAACACAACATCCACCTCAGGGAGGCTGGCCGCATGCACCCCACATTTACCTCCGTGGGAGAGAACATCTGGATGGGTTCCCCGCCGAATACGTTCAGCGTAAAGAAGGCCATTCAAAAGTGGGTGGGTGAAGTCAACGATTACAACTACACGACAAACAAATGCAAAGCTGTCTGTGGCCACTACACACAGGTATGTGCAGAGATCACTCTTCTGCATGATGAAACTGTGCTCTGCATGAAAATCACATACCTTTATTCATTTAGCGTCTGAACGATAAGGTTATGTGTTTTATACTATATTTGTAAATATGTAGTGTCCTTCTTCCTTTCTCAGGTTGTGTGGGCACAAAGCTACAAGGTTGGCTGTGCTGTTGTGAACTGTCCACGCGGTATCAAAGACTTTCCTCCATTTGCTGCTGCTATTTTTGTATGCAACTACGCACCAGGGTAACTTGATCTCTTTCCCTATAGATTTTACATTTGATACAACACCTGACAACATGTGGTATAAACAAGAAGTGGTTTGCTGAAGCAGGAAATGGTTTACCGTCAGATGAATCTGCAGCAACCACATTTACTCCATCAGTACAAAATTCTAATCAATGTCTTAAAACCTGTAAATACACCAAAGACAGATGGTAAAAAGAGAGTTTTTGAACCAGACGTTTCCTTTTGCAGTGGAAATTTTATCGGATGGCAGCCTTATGCAACTTCTGGAGATCCATGCTCTGGATGCAAAGGCAAATGTGACAACAAAATGTGTCGTAAGTACAACATTTCTATATTTAAAAGTCATGGATATAGCAATGCAAATATTGGATTACATTTACCAGAACCACATTTCCGAACCAGGAAAACCTTCCTAAAGCATTTTGTGTTTCACTGCAGGTAGTCCAGAACGAGATTCCAGAACAAGTATGTGACTGGGCAGAAAATCAAGAATCCTATTGAAGTAACAGTGGCCAGTTGTACTCTGCTGTAAATCTAAAAATGGATGCTTTGGTCTCCTAGGTTACAACTGGGCTCCGGACTGGGACAGTGCGTCACTTACATCACTTACAAGCACTTCTGCACCTACAAACAACATTTTCCTGGATATCCTGATCGTTCGGCCCATCGCCCTCGTCTTGACGTGCATTGCTGCATACGCAGTCCATTATTTTTACCCCAATCTCTTCTGCTATGAATAGAGTTTTTGGTCTGAAGGGAGATCCGGATGGATGGCGTCCCACAATGACCTCCAAATGTACATCTCTATTATCTTAACCACAAAATGCTACCATAATCTTATATCTTATATATTTTTCTGTGGATGAGCCATGTATGGACAAAAATCTACCATAAAATAGCACTTCCAAGTCTTTATTGAACTAAATGTGAGCTGTTAGCCTTTGTCTTTAGTTTTTTTTCTTTTCACCAGTGCTGCTTCTTTCAGATGCTACAATCAGTTTGGGTCTGAACATTAAAAGCTGCTTCTGGTGGAACAATGGAGTGAGGAATTTTCTTGGAATACCAATATATGTATGGCAATAAGAATCACAATCTCTAAGGAATATTTCAAACACCTTATTCAACCCATGTAAAAAAAATTCCAAAGGTTGCAGGATATCAACTCTTGATGACTATCGTAGACCTTGGTAACTGTCACCTTCTGGTAAAAATAATTGTGTAATGTGTAGTGTAACATGGATGACAAATGAACAATTTAACAGACATATCATTGTAGTTATTCCTACTCAATGTGCTTTCAGAGGTGTGCGTTGAGTGCGTTAGATTTAATCTGGGAGACGGGGAGTCGCTTCATTGGTTCTAACAATTGGTTATAATTGCAGCTTACCAATTTGTATTTGTGAACAAACAGAGCTCAAACTCAAAGATTAAACTCACAAATGCAAAAGCACGGTGGACAGCCTCGGTGCCCCGACCACCGAGCTTAGCAAGTTTTGTGGGGGAAAACTGCTGTTTCATTCACAGGTCTGGAATTGTAGCTTGACTTCTGTCAAAATTACTAGAAACAAGCAGATATTTTTATACTGCACTCAGAATTGTAAAAGTTGCACTAAGTATGTGCAAACTGTGGCACCACAGGTACACAAACTCCTCCACATTCAAGTGACTTGGGTAAACGTGCATCCATGGATTTCCTCATGAGACCATGACATCAACCACAAATTCACTGAAGCAGCAACAGAAAAAAAATTGTGTGCATCAGGCCTCGCACCAAGAGAGCATCATCTTTTGATGGAGGATTATGAAAAACACTGATCCCAAAGAGAAAACTCCTACAAAGGCAAAAAGAGTGAATGCGTAATTAGCCTAAAATATAAAATTGACTAAACTTTTAACTAAAGCACATCCTAATCATACCGTTCAAGTATTTTCCTGTCATTTGCTCAAATGAACAACTTTAAACTTAAAAATTAAACAGTGGAATCCATTTTTGTAGCCTGTGCGACTCTGACAAAGAATTCATTCCTGTTTTTTTTTTGTTTTGTTTTTTAATATTTATACATTTTCACATGACGTCAACAATGTAAAAAAAAAAAAACAAGCAACCGATCTCGCCTTTAGATCACAAACCGTTTAACTTCCTGTTTGAGTAGGGACGCTTTTGTTTTGAAACGACAACTTCCTGTATAACGGTTCGCCGTTGAGCTGAATTTACGCCAACAAAATACAGAAGTTGCAACGGAGCTTATTAAAAAGATGTTTTATTAATTTCCCCCTTTATAGTGGCACAAGGTACGTTTTTTGACGTAAATAAGTGCATGTTTGAAATATTGTGTGATTTTAACCCTGCTTTTGTTACATTCAAAAGCCGAGAGTTGCGACATATTAGCCGGTAAAGTTTTTTTTTTTTTTTAAGCTAAGCGGGTTTATTACCGTTAAACCTAGTTAATTCATCAGGTTTAACTCTCATGGAAATGAGACGGTCGGTCTCATTGACTCTGAGATTTAAGTACTTTATACAACTTTTAACCTCGACGTATTTTGACCGGGGCGGTTGAAAACGATGCTGTAAAAATGGAAAAGTATAAACCAAGCAAAAAGTGAAAGGCCCACCACTAACATACGGGGGAATATCTCAAAATATACAAAGAGGACATACATGGTAAGACCCAAACAACAGTAATGAACAACTAACCCCCATGGGTCGTGACATTAAGGCACAGCAATATTAGCATCATTTCATTAAAGTAATGAAATGTATTTTCCTTGTTAAATTCAATTTAGATAGAAAAAAAATGATCTTAACCAAACTTCAATGACAGGTGCTTAACCCGTGGCACTGCACACATGCACAAAACCACTCAGGTAAACAAGAGTAAAACAATAACGCACTGGATTTTATTCATAATGTCCTTTTGTTTGTTGAGACCTCGAAGGGCTGCAAAGATTGAGAAATAAAACAAGCAATTAGACAAAAATCCATAAATGAAAAAAAGAGGTTAAAAATGGGCATTGAAGAAGGTAAACCAAAAATCTTGATAAAAAGAAATGTCTTAAGTGTCTTCTTAAAGTCTTAAGACTTAAGCATAAAACATGAACACAGAACGCCATTTTGGGTATGTGAAGAAAGTTGAGTGAATTGTGTTTTGTAGATTAAGCAGTTGAAAAAGGTCAGGGCATTTGCATAAATGCACTGGTGTGCAAGGATTCAAATCTGGTAAAATAGTGATGGAAACAGGAGGAGAAGCCAGTGGAGAGAGAGAGGAGGATGGAAGTAATATAGTCATGAAAGCACACTCTTACCAGGATCCCAACTGCAGAGTTTTGGATGTACTGGGACCTTTACAGGCTCAAGCTAGGAATCCCAACAAAGGCATAGATAGACCAGTTTTTGTTGTCTGAGAGGGAGAGAATGGAACGGATTTTGGAAATGTTTCATAGGTGATAGGAGGAGGTCTTGCAGAGGTGGTTGATATAAGAGCCAAAAAAGATGGGGGTCCTTCTTTACGCCAAGATTTGTGACTGCTGATTAAATAGGAATACCAGACCCAGAGAAGGAGGTGCTGGCTATGGATGATGATTGGAGTCCCCACAGGGATTGCTTCAGTTTCGGAGATGTTGAGTTAGCAAAAGTTGTGCTCCATCTATATCTCTATCACCTCTAGACAAGTGGTGAGATTTGAGAATGTTGGTGGTGAAGAGGGCAGGGTTGGAACTTACATGAAGCTGTGTGTCATCGGCGTAAACAGTGAAAGGAAATACTATGACAGCTGACGACCTGGCCAATGGGAAGAAAGTAAAGGATAAATAGGATATGATTCCTGAGGAGCAACACATGTGACTGTTGATTTGATGTTGAGTGACCCATGGAGATAAATTCTGTCCGGTTGTGACAGATTGGAACCAACAGAGGGCAGTCTCAGTGCATCCAGTACTGAAGTGAAGTCTGTTGAGTAAGATGCCATGGTTGACTGTGTCAAACGCAGCAGGTAAGTCCAGGAGGACGAGGGGGCAGGGAGAAACCACACTGAAACTTTTCATGCAGGTCATTGAGTTTTTAGATGATCTTGTTAGTGGATTTCAACTGCTTTATCTAGAAATTTAGACATAAATGGTAAATTGAAGATGCCCTGTCGTTGAAAATGACTTCTGGGCCAAGAGTGGGTTTTTGAGGAGTGCTCGGATAATGGCTTTCTTTAAGATGGAGGGGACATGACCAAATTGGAAAGACTGGTTTCTGACAGAGATGATTGAGGAGTTAAGGCAGTGAAAAAAATTTTATCAGGTAGGTTGGGAATAGGTTTATGTAAGGCATTCAAATGTTCAGATAATGGCAGCAAAGATTGTACTATAGATTTGTAGGGATAGATGAATGACTGACAACCCCCACTTTTCACACTTTGTTTCACTTCACTGTTTCAGATATTTCCACTATTAAGAGGATATAGAAAAAGACAAAGCTTTATTCCTGTTTTCATTTTTGCAAACTCCCAACAGGAAAATTTTCTCTTTTGGCGGTTCCTTTAACATTTTATCACATAGCTTCTTTTAAAAAGCTTTTAGATGAGTTTGACGCACAAGATACATGTAGAAATTGCCCAGAAAGATTTCAAATAAACAACATCATGTTCTTGAAGAGCGAATAGTTTCCTGTGTTCGTGAAACTCCTTGCAGTTTACAGGTCGCCTTTGGCAGAGAACTGCAGATGTTGCTGTGGGTCCTTCTTGTTCTGGATTTGGGGGTCTCTGCCGTGACGCTGCCAGAAATCACGGATGAGAATTTCATTGCCGAGTGTGTGGAGGAGCACAACAAAGCCCGCGCAGATGTCAGCCCACCTGCAAACAACATGCTGTACATGGTGGGTTCTGCACATCACACTGTGTTTCACTGCCAAGAAAGGAGAACAAACTGGTGGCTTTACAGGATTTCATTCATTAAACTGAAATTTGGTTGTAATCAAATGGGAAAAAAGTGAGAAAGTATTGTAGTTTGTGAAGATCCAACAAGTGACTGAAAAGTATTCTTATCAACACAGAGGCAGCTGTAAGTGAATTCACATCGACTAAATCAATGAAACCACTAGTTTGGTTCCTAAGCATCACCTAGAATTAGTTATGTTCACCATCATTTTTATAACTTCCTTTGTGACACTTAAAAATAACTGAAGTAAAAATAATGTAATAATGTAATGTAAAAATAATCGCCCTGATCTTGTTTCATTTTCTTTGATGTTATGAAGTCGTGGGATGAGGCGTTGGCTATTACCGCCAGAGCGTGGGCAAAACATTGTAATGATCGACACAACGTCCACCGCAAGGAAGTCGGCAACATGCACCCCACGTTTACCACCGTGGGAGAGAACATCTGGACGGGCCCGCTGGATAAGTTCAGCGTAAAGAATGCCATTCAAAAGTGGGTGGATGAAGCCAAGGATTACAGCTACAAGGAAGACAGATGTACACGTGTTTGTGACCACTACAGACAGGTATGTGGAGAGATCACTCATCTACAGATGAAACTGTGGTCTGTCTGAAAATCACATACCTTTATTTATTCAGTGTCTGACATTAACACTGAACTTTTCCTGTTTAAGGTCAGTTGGGATTATTATAGACATAATTTCCATTAGCTAAACATCAGAACAGTGACAATTACACATACATAACGTTTACATATGTCATGATTAATATACCTTCAAACCATTTATGATGTCATGACTTGTAAGTCTCCTGATCTTTGCTAAATCTGAAAGGCAAAGATTAAAAGTTGCAATCTGCAAACGCCACATCAAGTGTACTTGAGGGTTCAAAGGCATTTGAATGTTGCTGCCAGACAGAGATGCCACTATGTATCTGAGGTGTATATGCACACATTCCAGGTGCAAACCACACACTTGAGACAAGTGTGTGTAAGCCAGTCACATAACCTGAGTCATGCCAGTTCCATTAGGAGGAATGGGCTAAAATTCCTGCAAACTATTGGGAGAAGGACAGGTGGTAAAAATTTAACTTTGAAAAAAGGCACAAAAAAAATGGAAAAATGCATCCTTCTAGAGCTTAGGAAAGCTTGGATTATTGCATTCCGAGCTAACCGAAGACAGGAAAAATTTTGTCGGTTTTAATGTCAGACAGAAGTCGATAAGGTGATCTGTTTTATACTATACTATACTATACTATACTATACTATACTATACTATACTGTACTATACTATACTATACTATACTATACTATACTATACTATACTATACTATACTATACTATACTATACTATACTGTACTACATAAATATGTAGTATCCTTCTTCCTTTCTCAGGTTGTGTGGGCACAAAGCTACAAGGTTGGCTGTGCTGTTGTGAACTGTCCACATGGTATCAAAAACTTTGAACGTCGTCAGGGTGCCATTTTTGTATGCAACTACGCACCAGGGTAACTTGATCTCTGTCCCTATAGATTTTACATTTGATACAACATGTTACAACTTGTGATATAAGCTAGAAGTTTTTTGAAGAATCTGCAGCAACCACATTTAATTTATCAGTACAAACAAATATACCAAAGACAGATGGTAAATGGAGGGAAGGTTTGACTTCAAAGGTTTTTGAACCAGACGTTTCCTTTTGTAGTGGAGATATCGATGGAATTCAGCCTTATGCAACTTCTGGAAATCCATGCTCTGGATGCAAAGGCAAATGTGAAAACAAAATGTGTCGTAAGTACGACATTTCTATATTTAAAAGTCATGGATATAGCAATGCAAATATTGGATTACATTTACCAGAACCACATTTCCGAACCAGGAAAACTTTGCTAAAGCATTTTGTGTTTCACTGCAGATAGTCTGCAACGAGATTCCAGAACAAGTATGTGACTGGGCAGAAAATCAAGAATCCTATTGAAGTAAAAGTGGCCAGTTGTACTCTGCTATAAATCTAAAAATGGATGCTTTGGTCTCCTAGATTACAACTGGTCTCCACGCTGGGACACCGCTTCATCTAGAAGCAGCGCTGCACCTCGCAACTCTTTTCTTGATATCCTGATCGTTCGGCCCATCGCCCTCGTCTTGACGCCCATTGCTGCATACGCAGTCCATTACTTTTACCCCAATCTCTTCTGCTATGAATAGAGTTTTTGGTCTGAAGGGAGATCCGGATGGATGGCGTCCCACAATAACCTCCAAATGTACATCTCTATTATCTCAACCACAAAATGCTACCATAATCTTATATCTTATATATTTTTCTGTGGATGAGCCATATATGGACAAAAATCTACCGTATAATAGCACTCCCAAGTCTTTATTGAACTAAATGTGAGCTGTTAGCCTTTGTCTTTAGTTTTTTTCTTTTCACCAGTGCTGCTTCTTTCAGATGCTACAATCAGTTTGGGTCTGAACATTAAAAGCTGCTTCTGGTGGAACAATGGAGTGAGGAATTTTCTTGGAATACCAATATATGTATGGCAATAAGAATCACAATCTCTAAGGAATATTTCAAACACCTTATTCAACCCATGTAAAAAAATATTTATATACATGTAATTTTGAATGCCAGTGATCCTAGGAGTTATTCTGTTGGGGTTTCATGCCTCTGGTTGGGCCACCCGATGCAGATGGGTGAGGAACCAGACCAAGTGCAGCCCAAAGATCCCATATGATCAATACGACCACTGGAAACAGGTTGTACTCAACCGTACAGGAGGTCCTACCCTTTCGGTGGCCCTGAGGTGCAAACCACTTCAGCATATTGAAAGCACAATTCCAAATTACGAAAGCGCTAAAACATGAACGTAAGTGTAACAGAGAGCAAAGTGTGTGTATATGTCTGTGTGAATTTTGCCCAAAATAATAAAAGTTGTCTGTTTCTGGTGGAATTTTTGAGTGATGCCACGGTTTAGAGCCACCTAGTGGTGTGATGACGGACTGCATGTGACGGGTCTTTCAGGCGCTCTAGCGGTTTCCCCACCAGAATTCTGCAGAGTTCTGGTGGAGGTCGGTGCGAGAGAGGTAGCTCTTCATTACTTTTTTTACTTGGAGTCATATTTTTCTAGTCCAATACTTAACAAAATACTATAACATCTACAAATATGATTTCTAAAGTTTTATTATGGTTGGGCTGAAAAAATATGACCCTATGAGTGGGAGCTGCGCCAGTTGGTGTTCCTGGCTGACCATTCAGTCATGACACCAGCTGTGTCAAAGGTCATCAGGTTGGGACTCAAACCTGTAACGTCTGCTTCCAGGACTAAGTTCTCTATTCGTGGGTTGCACTTTGCCAACAAAAAAAGCACAACCTGCAGCTTTTAGATGTGTGCCTTGTCCTACACACCTGAAATAAATGGTGAAACTGCTTCTCTATCATACAGTCCAGTGTTACGTTAGCTAATGTTGGAGCCAGGTGTGCTGAAGTAGAGAGACATCCAAAGGTTGCAGGATATCGACTCTTGACGACAATCATAAACTTTGGTAATTGTCACCTTCTGGTGAAAATAATAGTGCAACATGGATAACAGAACAATTTAACAGCATTCACATCATAAAAAAACAAACTTTAATTAGACATTTTTGAGTGACTCGGCATCCTAAGTGACACGTAGCCTAAGCAAAAACAAGAAACTCCCTGTCCAAAACTGTCAAAATAGACAAGAAAGGAAGAAACATTTATATACATCATCTCTGACACTTAGCATCCTGAAATCTCAGAAGAATTTAAACCCTTCCGGTCCTCTTTCGGTACGCCGCGACTGTCCAGCAATTACCAGTCAAATAGTACATGTTTACATGATGAGACTTGGTGAGCTGTTAGCCTTTGCCTTTAGTTTTTTTCTTCTTTTTGTCTGTTGTGCTGCTGGTGGTTGGAGGAGGGATCACAGGTGGAGCTCCGAGTTTTTTCGTTTTGGCCTTCTTCACTTTCTCCTTGATGGTTGCGATGTCCAGTTTTCCTTCTGCAGGAGCTGTGACACAAACATTCAGGTGGTTAATCAGGACGTTGCAGTCACCTTACAGAGATGAGTCCTCTGATCTCAGCTACCTTTAGCCGTCTTCTTCATTAATGGTTTCTCTTTGGGAGGAATGAAAGCCTTGTTCCGCTCTTCTTGCTTCTTGGTCAGCGCTTCTGCTTGTTTGACCTGAAAGAAGAACGAACACCATTGTTACATTTCTTCAGAGTGATGCAACTTCATGTGTTTCATTTTTTTTAAGCAAAGATTCCAGGAAGTGTCCTTCACATGAAAGAAGTGGCTACATTTAAGCAACAGAAAAAACCCCAAATGCTTACCTTAATTTCCCCCATCTTCTTCCTCCTTTTCACACTTTCACGCAAAAAGAATTCACCCGATGCAAGCTCCTGATCAACCTGTGAAGGGATCCAAACAGTTAAAGTTACAAATTCATTTCACATTTATGTGAGATACAGTAGGTCAGTTAGATAATAAGACAAATTCCTTTTTACACACGCTAACGCCACCTGACCTTGCTCTCTGGTTGTGGAGGAGGGAACGGGGTGTACTCCTTCTTCACGCTCTTCTTCTTGGGTTCCTTACGCTTGGAGAGGTTCTTGTGGCGGAACTTGGGCAGGAAGCGTTCCCAGTTCTGCGTCCGCAGTTCTGGGTCTTTAGAAAGCTCCTGTTTGATCATCAACGTCTGACGGATCATGGCAGTAAGAAAAAAGAAAAAAAAATTAGCGCATTGACTGATGGAACAGCAGCACAGTAAAAGCTACAGTATGGAGAACTAATGGTGTACACATTTTTTTATGCCCTCAGCTCCAGGTTGAGCCAGCCATGGCATTCAAACCCAGAGGGAGTTTGTTTCCATCAGAAAATCAAGAACAAGGATGGAGAAAATCTTCATTGGACACGAATGTGTTCGACCTATGGGCCATAAATTGGAAGCTGTGTGACAGCAGCTAACGTACCTTGATGTTGTAGATGGGGTGGATGTTCTTCATGGTGTCCATTACCACTTTGCGTACCTATATAATAACATAATTATTCTGCGGTACTTTCTTTACACTTAGAACCATAAAATATAAACTTTGCAGTGAATCAGTTTCTGTTTGGTTGAGTGTGCCTTTTAGCAATAAAGCTAATACTGCTAGAAATCCTGTTTATTTAACTATATAGGTGCAGTATTATGTAAAATAGACTTTTGAGCTTGTGATGACTTCCTGAGTTTCAGAGAGAGCAGGAGTTTTAAAGAGACAGTGACCCAATTTCTTTTAAGTCAAATGCGACATTTTTTACTTTTTTTTTTTTTTAAACATCTGGAGGTCAGAGTTACTTCATTGTTCTTTATACTAAGTGATACTATCTGGATGAAAAATACATAATGCTGCTCCTTTAAGTTGTCAATCTCAGCCTCAGTTGACAGCAGATATGTATCAGAATAAAACTCTTATTTTTGCTGTATTTAAACATTTTTGAGTTGTCCAAACATGAAGCAGATCACGACACCCTCAGTTAAGCCCTCTCAGGCTGCTGTGGCAAACTTACTTCTTTTAGGCCGTTATAGGGTCCTAGTGCTGACACAGTGTTACCCTGCACCATCACATAGCAGCTGGTTAACAACTCTAACGCCTGGAAAGCAAAAGAAAAAAATGCATCATGAAAACGATTTAATAATTTGATACTTCAAGCTAGGTTATAGAATAACTTTTATATAGTAATACATTTATAACTGGTAAGCTGAATTGCAGAGGGGAAGAGAAATTGTGGCTAAAACACTCTGCTGCCACCTGGTGGCACTTTACTAATAAATCACTTCCACTGATGACTGTTAAGATGTAGAATGCGTATATAGAGACAATATTTACACAAGTTGAACTTCTTAAGCTGAATTAGCTCTGATGCAACAGGCTAAATTACTTTTAGGTTTTACCTTTAAGGTGGAGCCCTTTGGGCCAATCAGCCGCTGCCTCCGCTTTACAAACCGCTCTCTGTTCCTCACCATAGTGCCGATTTTTATGATGTCACAAGCCACATCATCTTGTAATATGCGGACAGCCTGGAAACCAGCAGGGCGACAGTGGAAGGTTATAATCAGAGTTTTCTGAAGGTAGTACAGGTTAGGGACTGTGTGAACCAGGTAGGATGTGATAAACAGAGCAGAGGCCTTCACCTGCTCAAATGGAACGCTTCTCGCCAGCAGCTTGATGAGGTCTCTGGCTTTCACGATGGCGTACGGATCAAAGGTCTTCTTGGTGGTGCTGACTGTGATACTTCCCTCAATCAGATCCAGAGAGACTTTGATGTGCTGAAAGAAACAAGATTTAGCAACATTCGGGCCGCTGCTGGGAGTGGGCTGAAAACCTGGACCGTGAAGTAATACCAATATGACTAATAAACAGGCATCTGAGGAAAACTAGAAGTCTTGAGCTTGTTTTTATTATTGATTAAAAATAAGATTGTCCCAGTACCTGATCTCAGCTGTTCGCTCTAAAGCCAGCACAACATTGAGTTTCAATCTGGAGTCAATATATTTGTTTTCAATAAACATCTGTCTCTTCATAGCAAAAGACAGAAGCACTATTACACATCTTATTTGGTGCAAGATCTTTCCATCAGTTATCGTGGAAGTTACATTTTTCACTGAAAATCCAATAAGAGCTCCGAACAATGTAAACAGCGTATAGTCAGTGGGATGACTGTGTGTACACACCAAGTCTCCCAGAGCCTTTTCCACCAGCGGCCAGCATTCTTTCAGGTAAGCTTCCCTGTATTTGGGGAACAGCGTGGCGAAGCTGCTCTCCTCCAGCAGCCCCCGGGGGTTGTCCTCTCTGGTGAAGGCCGGCTCCTTCCACCCCTCAGGAACAGTCAGGAGTTCAGATTCATCCACTGCGAGGAACACAAGAAATCACATTCGGTGAAACGAGTCACCACTAAAAAGGACTGTACCGATTTTTTTAACGCTTGTTGATACAAATGGCGCATCAGCCAATCACAACAACTCAATGCATTTGGGCATCAGGGTCTGTAACAGACTTCTAGATTTTATTGTCGCGTTAACTTTATGATACAAGATGTAAACAGTTGACAGCACAGTGCAGTCATTTTGTAAGCTGACTGAGTGGAAAACAGCGTGCATCATGAAGGGGAATGAATACGTCATAAACGTGTCTTCCATAAACCATGTTTTTCGCTCCCTGCACCAGCAGCTAACAGCCCGGAGCTCTGTAGGATCCAGAACTTACCTTGAACTTTGGTCTTTTTAGGGCTTTTCGCTGTTTGGACTCCACTCACGCCGTCTTTAGCGGTGGAGGCCGCCATTGTTGAGAATCTGCGGAAGTGACGCAAATCCTTGCTTCTTCCTGTAAACGTGACTGTTTACAGGAAGAAGCGTTTATTTTCATATTTCTAAATATAAAACGGAGTTTTAGGTAACTTGACTGCCTTTAAAAACAAAACAAACCTATGTTATTTATTCTATCATTTTAAACAACGCAATTTTTATGTACTATATAAAAAAATATTTTTAAACTGCGTTTTTATTTTTATTGAAAATTACTTTTTTTCCCCAATCAGCATTGCCGCTCCGTTCACCATAGTAGCAATTTTTAAACAACTCTGCGTACTCACAATATTAACATGAAAACATACAACAAGCATCTCACAAGATTTTTACTGCAGTTTCAGAGTGAAGGCCCCACAACAGAAATTCGGACATTTAAAGAAATTCAACTTCAAACAAATATTTTTGCAGGCTTTTGTCTCATGTTTTGATCTGACTTTTTTTTTTTAATCTTTTGTGAATTCTTACTTTTTACTCGACTTTGTAAACTTTGGAGGTTCTTCCTACAAAGTTTACAGATATTTGAAAAATAAAAGACCTTTCAAATCCCTTCCATCTATTTTTCTCCCCATTTTGAACTTCAACTATGTTTTGTGTCTGTAACCCATCTATCCTCTCAAACAGCTTTGAGGTAACAGTTAATGGCTTTGATCTGCGGGGAAGCAGTTTCCATGGTCACACCAACACAAAAAGGTCTCAGTGGTGATTTCAAACTGTTTATTGAAGCCGTAGCTTCTCATAGTACATCATTACTGCCTTAATAGCACTCAGTGAGAGCACGGAGATTCCTAAAAAGCTTATCGATGCAGCAATGATAACAACCATGCTCATGTGCTCTGCCCCTGAAAGAGAGAGAAACGTTTAGCCGAAACACAGAACATTAGGAACATTTATTGCAAGTATGACTTGCTAATTAAAATGTGTCCATTTGAATGCAACAAAGAAAAGAAAAAAACCCTACAAATTACATCAGGTGATCTTGTTGAAGTTAGTGTCATAATTCATTAAGCTAATCTGAGGCTGTAGACTCACAGTTGGACGGATTGCTGGATTTCATCCTCATGTTGACCGTCAGCGGTCCAGCAGACACAACAGCAGCTTGTTTCTCCTGTCTGTCCGTTTGGTCCGCCAACCGTTTTGGGCGCTGCTGGATGCTGCAGTTCTGCATTTAAATAAGAGTCAGCTGGTTTCTTTTGAAGCCACAAGAAGGCCACAACACTTAAAAAGTTAAAGTTCGTAAATCTTCTGTTTCACAGAAATAAAGGGGAAAAAAATAAGTCCTTGGACAATCGGAAGACAAAAGAAATTAAACGTTTGTTATATAGCATTAAAATAATTTCTTCATAAACTGATTTTAAAACCAACTAAAATAAAAACTAGTTTGGTTTTAATATGATTATCCTTAAGAAAAAAAGTCAGTTTGACATATTCAGGATCATATATTTAAATATTTGGCTTGGATAAATATCCAGGAAGTTGTGGCTTGCATATAGATGAGGGCCAATTCCCAGTATGAAAGTATGGCAAGATTTTAAATAACTGTGCTTTCAAAGCTGAGAACATGTTTTGACAGTTTATCCTCCTCATGATGCTAAAGATTATGTTCCAACTGACCAGATAATAGTTAGAGGTCAACTGTTTGATTTTATCACCCCCAAGGTTTTAATACAAGGCTAAGTAAAACCCAGGATGTGGACAGATCAACATGGAGTTGAAGATGCCTTATAGTTGATCATAGTTCATAACCAGGGCAAAGCGCCATGCTCAGTGGATCTGATGCCATTATCTGCATAGTCTTACCCGAGTGCAGTCTTCCTTATGCCCACATACATTGGTCAGGCAGTGGAAGTAGAGCGGTAAGCCTTTGGGCATGTGGAACATCTGGATGGAAAACCTGCTCCTCTGTGCCAGGCCGTTTGCAGAGAGCCACTGGAAGGTGTTGTCAGTGGGACAGCTGAAGGGAAGCAGTGGAACAAACAGTCTCCTGAAAATCTACAGCGAGTAAATATTTTAAAAGCTACCAATTTGTGTTTGCAATGTAAAACTGTTAAAATTTAAAAGTATTTTGCTGGATTTCTTTTTCCATAACTTATGTAATGGGACCAAGAAAAATTAGTGCACAACTGAGGTACATGCAGATGTTGCGTTTTTAAATTTTTAAGAAGCGGGGCATGCTTTTGTCTCCTAAATAAATTCTGGTGTAACCAACTGTGTGGAATGCAATCTCACTGTATAATCAAGCTGTTTTGTGAAGGAGTCAAAATGCTAGTTAAATAAACAGCAAGCAGGCCAGAGAGAAAGTTGTGGAGAAATTTAAGAGTATGATTAGCTAATAAAAGGTTATCCAGACCATATCTTTCAGAGAATGGTTTACCATCTGAAGATGGAAAAACACATGTGAACCTTCAAGGGAAGGCTTTACACCTCATGTGTCAGGCTGGGAAAAGAGAAAATTAATCAGAGGCAGCAAAGAGGAAAACCAACACTAAATGTTTTGGGGTACAAACAGAACTCTGCGTCTGGAAGTAAACCACCAGTGACCCTCCTCACCGTCATGCTGTGTGGAAGCTTTTCTTCAGATTTGAGTTTGAACAACGTTGTAGAGACTAATGATGTCAGTCAGTTTGTCAGTTTCCGTATGCAGCAAACTGATCATTTTGAGACTTCCACATAAAAACAGAAGAAGAAAAAATACCCATTTTCGAGAAAGACAGCTTGGACTGCCTCTTGTGGATCGGTGCTCTCGGTGGCCCAGCAGGACTCCACCTGCAGCAGCTCATCCGAGGCAAACGAGTGGTTGGTCTGCAGAGCCACCTGGAAGTACAAGGTGTCCTCGTGTCCCAGCTGTACGGGATCCACGTAAGCATGGCTGTAAGACTCATCCTTAAACAAGTCCATGGTCAGACCCAGCAGTACCGATGAGTTAAACTCCACCAGGGAGAGTGAGGACAGCCTGGAACCAAACAAACGGCACACCCAAACTCATTTATTTAAACTGATTTGATCTTACAAAATTAGGAGAACATCAGGATGCGTTCCTCACCATTCCATGTTGGCAACGACTTGAGCATTGCGGACGTAGTGTCGAGGGTAGATGCACTTCCAGACAACCTTGAGATCTCGCCGGCTGATTGTATGCTCTTTACTCAGACTGACACTCAGAGTATTTTGGAGCACGATGTGGGTTTTATTCCCCTGGATACACAAACGCACACACACGTCTATGTAAACCATTTCAAAACATCCCCCACAAAAGCAGCATTTGCAGGCTAATGTACACACTTTCCATTATATAACAATTAAAATGAAATAATTTTGAAAACAAATGCAGTTGCTACAGCAGCATTTTCTTCTGAAATGCAAGTTAGTTTGACCTTTTTTTCCATTCCACACCCTGGTGGATGCCGGGAGGTGTTGAAGTAGTACACAACCTCCGTCTCATTCACTGGACACTGGCCGTCGTTCAGTTTCACCTCAAGCTTTCCCCCAAACAGAGAGGTCAGGTAGGCTTTTGCTATTCCACCCTCCATAACTCTCTCCAGACACTGGGTGAAAAGTCCTTTATCTGTTTGAGATAAGAGATGCTGCATTTTTTAGCAGGACTTTGATGTCAGCTCAACAAGAAACTGGTCAGAGCTCTGAACTGAGTCTGTTATATAATCAGCAGTTTACAGTGTTCAGCGCTTCGTGCAGACTGACAGGCAAGTCAAAGATTTTCCACCGGTGTATAATCTTTATTGCAACACCATAGACTTAACATTGCATGGGAACAGTCTTTTAAAACTTTCTGGATTGATGGATAGCAACAATTGCTCCTCTGTTGAAACATGTTTAACCCAGAACTGCAAAGTACCAAAAATCACATGTGAGCTTTTTAATCAGGACTTTAAACTATCCAATATAAAACCTTCCCTTTAAATATCAGTCAAGAGTTGGAGCCATTTCAAATGAAAAGGAAAATTGTTTTTAGAAAAAAAATCATCAGGAGTGCTGCTCTGTACCTTTGCAGACTGGATGTGAAGCTGCAGGCAGATGTAGAAAAGAGCCGACATCATAGTAACCGTCCTGGCAGATGCACCTGTATGAGCTCAGACTGCTGACGCACACAGAATTACGGGGACAGAAAGGTTGCATGGATGCACACAAGTTCGCACCTGAAAATGCAAAGCAAATCTCAAAAATTGGTTTGACTGAGAACAACATTTTATACGCAAGACCAAGATAAGGACTATGACATCACTTACCATCCCAGTAAATGACTCTGTTCTCTACCCTGATGTCAGACATGTTGAGAGAACTAATGTGCCTGAGCTGATCGTCAACTGGTAAGTTAACATTTTTTGAGTTAGAGGCATCAAAGGACCTAAAAAGAACTGCTGTCTTTGTTGGCTCATCTGCAGGTTCCAGAAAATCCAGCTCAATGCGGGCTGGCGGCTCATAGTCCTTCAACAGTTCCTCCAGCTTAAAGGAGACACACATCCTTCAATTATGGCAAAACCATTTTAGTTTGTTATATATGTATGAAAAACACTGCTTAAATTAAAGTGATTGTGTCTTGGATACAATGATTTATAAAGTATAAAGTTTCGTGCCGATGTATTCAGAACCTTTAAACTTTTATTTTAGTATATGCAGAGATGTTGCACTTTTCAGATTTTAGTTTGTAAAAGAAACTACATTTCATTTGGTTTCCACTTCATAAAGTTGTATTACTTTGTGTTGGTCTATCAAATGAAATTTTAGTAAAATACATTGAAGCTTAATTTTGTACAGTTCAGAAGCCTGATAAAGTTCAAGAGGTATGAATAATTTACAATCAATACTATCAAAACCAATACCCAAAAGTTATTGATAAGTCTGTTGGATGTGAAACATTTAAATATCTGACAAGGCATCACCTCAACAACATATTTGACTATAGTAAATTTAACTAAAACACACAAACCTTTTTGGATGTATTCTAAGTTACAAATGTGTCTCACCTTAGTCTTTAAAATCTGATCCAGCTTGGCTCTAGATTCTGACGGGTCATTCTGTTGATCATCAGGCAGAGACCAGGGAACAACCATCTTAATACCAATGTTGTTGAAATCAAACTGCAGCTCTACACAGGGCCCAAAGTAGAAAGTTAGCTTTTGTTTCCAAACACAAAGTCTACCTTGTCAGGGTTGATGACTCCTACAACTGACCATTGTTGAGAGGGGATTCAATGGCCCTCACATCAATCTCAAACGTCGAATTGACTCCTTCAAAACCCAAACGGGACGGTTCAGACTCCCACAGGCCGTTGCACTCCTCCCATATGTCCAGGATGTAGGATTTTCCTGCCTCCAGGCCTAGGAGAGGCAACTTGTTGTTGAACACACGGCTGCTACCGATGACGGAGCTGTTCTCCATGGAGAGCTCGTATATGTAGGCCACCCCCTGCTGATTAGGGAGGCTAGGTGTCCACACAACTGTGGAATCACTGGCACGAAACTTGAGCTCGGACACACCGCCAGGTCCTGGACAGACAGATTATTTACCATTTGCAACAAATAAATACCAAAAATGCAAAAAGTCAGTTGTGCCACCTGAATACAGAGGGTGGGAATACAATAGAAAGTCAGATGCTCAGATTTGAGTTACCTGTTTGAGCCGTGATTGTCCTGACACTCATGACCACGTTGTCACCACACACCGCCGCCACCCTGGCTCGGTACTTCTGGCATGGCAGAAGCCCCGTCACAGTGTGCGTGGTCAAAAGTGTGGTGCCCTTCAGCGCCCCCTCATGGTAAACTCTGAACATGGAGATGGACGAGGTGTTTTTTACCTCCCAGCTTAGAGTGTAATTGTTGGGTGCAAACGAAGTCTGGTGCAAGAAGTAAATGTTGGAGAAATCTGACAAGAAGACAGGAACACAGATCTTTAAAATTATAAACTTTTTATGGAGCACTTAATGCTGGCTTTTAAAATGAAAAACTTAGCATTTCCCTTAAAGTAAGAGCTTGGTGACAGTTGTGAGTTGATGTATAAAACAATCCTAAGCACACTGCCAAAGCTATAATGGTAAGGTTTAGGTCAAAGTATGTCAATATAGTCCGGTTAAAGTTCAGACTTACCAGAGTTTCCTTCATTCAGGACCATTCTGCTGCAGCGGGACTCCAGCCCCAACTGGCAAACAGTCTGCAGGCCAAACTTCAGCCTGACACATGGTTGCAGGTCGGATAGCGAGAACATGAAGCTGTTGTCGGTCATCCACAACTCTGCCACCTCTGTGACATGGTCCGTACCGTTAAGGTAGAAGATAGTGAGGAGGAAGACTGAGTACTTCATGTTTGCAGGGCAATCCCACGCCAAGGATATACTGCTGCTGCTCCATGAAGTCACTTCAAAATACTTTGGAACATCTGGGTCTAGTGGAGACGGGGAAAATTTAGGTTGAAATTCATCAACTTGGATATTAAAATACTGTTCTTTTCAACCACAAGGTCTACGTGTTCATACCTGAAATGGTAGAGAGGCATGTGAAAGAGTAAGTGTCTGCAATCTCAACACACACCATATAGCGGGTACAGGAGTCCAAGGCGGTGAAGCGGTAGTGGTCCAGGGTGGTGTTGTCCTCAAAGAAGGGATTGTAGGATCCCATTTCAGTATGGTAAAGTGTCACCGTGTGAGACGAGACATCCTCTGGATTGTTCACCAACCAGGACACCAGTAACATGAAGGGACTCCTGGACTCCAGTTTGATTGGGAAGCGCATCGTATGACCTCAGAGGAGAGAAAATGTTCCTTCAAGTGGACGGCATGCAGGGGTCACATCTAAACTTTTCCACCCCAAAAGAGTACTTTAGGGATTGTTGTAACATCACAAAATGTGGAAAACTTCAAGAGGTATTAATATGAACCCATTTTATAAGCTTGGCTTTCAAGTCATCATCCTCATAGTGTTGATGCAAATTTCTTCATACCAACAGCGAGGAAGAAGTCCTCATCCTGGTGGAGGAACGTTGTGCCACTTTCACATGCAAACACCTCAGTAGGTTCGAGCAACTCCAGGAAACCCTGAAGAACAAATACGCAAGTAAACTTTGTCCAAATGGAAGGAGTGCATAACACTTTATCAATGACATTAATCTTTGAACAAAAGTAAGCTTAAACATGTTAGCAATACCTTGGTCGCATTTGCTGGCTGCTCTAAGGGTTTGCGTTTGCCTGTGATTTTGATCATCTTTGTACCTTTCGGTGAAATTGAGATGGTTCTTACGGGTACAAATAATTGATTAAAAAACAAAAACAAAGACATCTTTGGCACTTTGGTTCTTACGTGGGTTGATTGTTATGGTCCATCTCTGAGTAAAGCCTCCATACTGCAAAGCAACCTTGTTTTCTACAACTGGAGACACTGTTACAGAGGTAACTCGGCCTGCTTTTCTCATGAAGTTCAATGAAGTGCCGTTGAGCCATAAGTTTCCATTTTGCCTGAAAGAACAAAAACACTGAAACAAGTCTTTATACTTAAAAGCAATAACCGTTTCCCTTAAAATTCCTTCCGATTTCTTTATATCTCCTATTCTAAATAAAGAATTTTTAAAAATATTTAATAGTTAAATTATTTTGGTAAGATGAAGCTTTAACTTTGATTCAGACTTGTGAATCTATCAACCATCTTAAAATACAGCTACACAATATCATTATTCAGACATAATTTAACCTGTTTAAAATATGTTGTTCACATTTTAAAGATAAAATGTTGGCCATTGATTATAAGGAGGGTTTCATTCATTCTGTAAAGCCAAACAAGACGTTTCCCGTTGATTTTAGAAAAGAGCACTGCTCTAAGCAAACATAATTTATGCTGAACGTAAATGAATTTCTGTTTATCAAAACTGACAAAGCATAAGTTTTGGGAGATCCCCCATCTCATCTTCAAATGAATCACAAAAACTCCCAGGAGTATGAATATAGGCATGCAACAGCAGAAAATATGAACTAAATATATCTATAGCAGAAATTCTATGCAACAACTTTATCATGTTCAGTAGTTTAGTTCCAGGTCTGCCTCAATCTCAATTGGATGGGACCCAACTTCTTCTAAATCCAGCCCTGCTTTAGGAAACGAAAATAAAAAAACATGAAGGAAACCACCTCGTGACGTTTTCACCGTAACTAAAGGCAACAGTTGAGTTTTTGTCACGAGACTGACAAAGACGCAGTTAAAAAAAGAAAAGAAAGTTTATTATTATTTTTTACAACGTTATGTTGTGTGTGTTTTTGTTGTCGTTGTTTTTACTCGCTCCTCGTCGTTTAGTGATGGCGTTATAGTTTAATTTATGGCCTAAACAGTCGGGGGAGAAAAGCTCGTGCCTGGGAGCACGAGAGCGCTGACCGACTGCAGCGTCATGAGGAGGATTTCAGCAGCTAGCAGCTACAGTTCTGGTGAGAGGAGCTTGTTTTCATTTTTTGTTTCTTTACCCATTTAAAGCGTCCTCCGTGTCCAGCCAACAAAGTGAGAACAGCATGTCGTAGCATCTTCCTGTATTTAAATAAATGTAAACGTTCACCAGGTTGTCGTGCGCGTACTTAAAACGGCTCTCCATAAAAAGAGTCGGTCCATACTTACCAAACGAGTGAGGCACGAATATAAAAAATATAAAGGAGTATTCTAACGAGTTCCTGAAAACATTAAAAGACATATTAAACGAAAAATAATTAGGCTACGTTTTGGCACTGAGACTCGCTCTGAATGTGAATTTTCTTACATTTTCTTTCTTTTCCAAACCGAGAAGCAGGTAATGACAGACAGGTTGTTAATAAGAGGCAGGTGTGCAGAGCTGTGCCTCACCTGCTCAGGTTTTCTGACGTCACAAAAAAAAAAACGTTTAAGAAAAAAAGAAAAGGAAATACAATAACGGAACGGTTCTTTGTATAGCTGTAAATGTCGTTCATAAATATCACAACTTTTAATGATAAATTACGATTTGTTTTACTAGGTTTTTTTTTTGTTAGTTTGTTTGCTTTGGGGTGTTTGCGGTTTTGTAGCATTATTTGGTTATTATTAATGTTTATTTGTCAATGAATTTATTATCTACAAGTCAATTTAAAAATTGTATATATATATATATATATATATATATATATATATATATATATAATATATATATATATATATATATATATATACAGTGTGAGAACCACTGTCCAGGACGAAACAACTAAGATCCATAAATACATCAGGGACAAAGCCTCAACAGACAATGTGCTCAGTGAATGTCTCAGACAACAGGGAACGGAGGTTGAGGTGCCAGAGATACCATCATGGGAGGACAAGCCCCTACATGGGATGTACCACCAGCAAATAACCCAAGTGGCTGATATCAGTAAATCCTACCAATGGCTGGAAAAAGCTGGACTCAAGGACAGCACAGAGGCCCTCATCCTGGCCGCCCAGGAACAGGCCCTAAACACCAGAGCAATAGAGGCCCAGATCTACCACACCAGACAAGACCCAAGGTGTAGGTTGTGCAAGGAGGCCCCTGAGACAGTCCAGCACATCACAGCAGGGTGCAAGATACTGGCAGGGAAAGCGTACATGGAGCGACATAACCAAGTGGCAGGCATTGTGTACAGAAACATCTGTGCAGAATATGGACTGGAAACCCCGAGATCAAAGTGGGAAAACCCCCAAAGGTGGTAGAGAACGCCAGAGCTAAGATCCTGTGGGACTTCCAGATCCAGACAGACAAAATGGTAATGGCGAACCAACCAGACATTGTCTTAGTGGATAAACATCAGAGGAAAGCCGTTGTGGTAGATGTAGCAATACCAAGTGATTGCAACATCAGGAAAAAGGAGCACGAGAAACTAGAGAAATACCAGGGCCTCAGGGAAGAACTGGAGAGGGCCTGGAAGGTGAAGATCACAGTGGTGCCTGTGGTCATCGGGGCCCTCGGGGCAGTAACCCCCAAACTGGAGCAGTGGCTACAACAAATTCCAGGAACAACATCAGACATCTCAGTCCAGAAATGTGCAGTCCTTGGCACAGCCAAGATACTGCGCAGAACCCTCAAGCTCCCAGGCCTCTGGTAGAGGACCCGAGCTCAGAGGATAAGAACCACGCGGTGGGTGAGAAGGGGTGATATATATATATATATATATATATATATATATATATATATATATATATATATATATATATATATATATATATATATATATATATATATATATATATATATATATATATAAACTTCCACAAATGTTCATGTTTTTTGTCTAGAAAATGCTTTTTTCTATCTACAATGGCCCTAGTTGATTGTCGTAGGCTCTTTGTATCAAGCGCAATAAAGAGTGAAGGTGTAACATCAGAATAAAATGAGAAGAAATTGAAACAGTTTGAATGTTTGTTTCTTTTTATTTGCAAATGACAGTGTTTGTTTTCCTTTCTCCATAGATGACCCATGGTGACCTCCCAGTTTTGTGTTGTGCTACAGGAGACCAATAGATGGCACTGTGTACTTTACAGCAATTTCACTAAAAAACACTAAAACACACTAAAAACACTGAAACAGAAAAGGCTTTTAACAGACTTCCAACTGTTTTGTTCCCCTTAAGTGCAAAATATTCCCTTTACCTTGGATGTATGACTGTGATTAGCCCGGATTAAGCAAATGAAAGGCCAGTGGTCTTCTATTAGTGGTCTTGGATTCCATTTGTTCAGAGTTAATTGAGCGGTCAGAGAAGGCACCTTTTGTCTAAAACAGAACCAGGCAAATTATAGTCACGCGTCGCCTGTGAAGAGCTCGAGGTTCGCCTCTGCCTCATCTCATAATTCAAGTCAAACCATGATCTAAGCTGTGAGCTCTGTGGTGCGATTATGGAGAGCTGGCAGTGTCTGCTGCTGCTGCTGCTGACTGCAGTTACTTTAAGGCCTTGCCCCGGAGAGCCGAGGGGAAATGATGATGGCGTCGACCCCATCTGCCTTCTGAGAAATATTTACAGCAGGCTGCTGGTGAGGGCCGAGCCGTTTGTCAGGGACTCTGCGCTTAAAGAGCTGAGGCGCCCAGCGGACCCTGCAGGCACACAGCAAACTGAGGGCAGAGTCGGCGCTGATGGGCCGGTGGTGTTTACCAAAAACGGGCAGATCCAGGGCGTTACTGTGGATAAGGCCTACGTATTCTACGGGGTGCGCTATGCAGACCCTCCAGTCGGTGCCTACCGCTGGAAACCCCCGAGACCTGTGAGCCCGTGGTCTGGGGTCTACGATGCGTCGTTCCCTCGGCCAGCGTGCATGCAGGTCTGCAGTGGATCCGAGTGTCCTAAGAAGGTGAGAAACGCAAACATCTTTTGTTCACTGCTGGGGTACTTTTGTGGGGTTTTAGTATCTAAATGCGTTTTTCACATTTTCTGAATTTGTTTGCAAATATACATATATTTTATTGGGGGTTTATGTAACAGTTTGCGCAAAAAAAAAAAAAGTAAGAATGTACGGCAAAACAAATTTTCTAAACTTTTTCTTTATAAAAATCTAAAGTGTGGCAAACATTTGTATTCATATCTATTTATTCCCCCCACGTGTGTAAATCTAAGAACATCCTCAATGTGTTTTGATTCAATTAAATATATTGATCCTAAAAGGAAAGTAAATGTTGTACAACGTAATAATTCAAGGTTCTTCAAAAGGTGTAGTAGATTCTGATGGCTGTGGGTAGGAAGGATCTCCTGTAGCAGTCTGTATTACAGCACATTTGAAGAATCCTCTGACTGAAGGCACACAGTTTTTCTATGACAGTCGTGAAGAAGATGCTCAGGGTTGTCCATAAATATAATACATAATAATACAAATGAACAGCATACACAACGTTTGCTGTGAAATGTAATATTTATTATGTATTTATAGCAAATGCACATAAGTGTCAAACTCAGAAAAAACAAACTAGATGAAGAAAGAGATGGAAAAAAGTGGACAGAAGGAAAACCTGTGAATTTGTGTTTATTTTAAGATGCAGTCATTTGGTAGCATAGCAAGAGCTAAATGACCTGCGTCCCAAACAGGTCAGCGAGGACTGCCTCTTCCTCAACATCTTCGTGCCTCTAGATCTCAACTTCACCTCCCCTCTGTGGCGCCCCCTGCCCGTCATGGTGTGGATCCACGGGGGTGACTTCATAGCCGGCTCGGCCTCCAAGCCCGTGTATGATGGACGCTTCATCAGCAACTTCACTCGCACAGTTGTTGTGAACGTGGAGTACCGACTAGGTGAGAAACACTGGTGGTGTTTTAGATGTTTCTCCAGAAATGTGTAAAGTTATACACATATAGTTATATGTGAGCACCAGAAAGCAGGGGAAATGAGTGGCCTTCCAGCAGGCTGGAAATGGGGGCATGTGATTGGTTCTTTGGAATTCAGAGGAAATGAGCGTTTTGTCTAAGTTGATTATGTTTTGTTTTGTGTTTTTTTTCTTTTTGCTGATAATGCAAACTGCTCTCTGGTGGAAGGGGCGTTTGGATTCCTGGTGTCTGGTAAAGATCCTCTGTCCTCTGCTACGGGGAATTACGGGATGCTGGACCAGCAGGCAGCGCTCTTCTGGGTGCAGCAGAACATCGCAGCGTTTGGGGGTGACCCGAGCAAGGCAAGCAACAATGCACACGGTCACACACTAATGGTTGCGTTGGGTAGCCTTCCAACATACAATATTCGTAACACTTAGAGAATTGGAATGCAATTTTCTGAAATAAAAAGTCACAAATAAGCATTTTTTAATAGAAATATACATAAACTATTCTTTGTTGTTCATATTGAAGGTGACTTATTATGCTTCCCTGAACAGGTTAGGCTAGACAAAACATGTTTGTAATATTTATTGCACAGAATCAAGCTTAGATAATAAGATTTTATTCCGCTCGGTTCAGCCTGTGGTGAGCTTCTTTTAGTTTAGGGTCTCTGTCACTTTAAATGCAGATAAGCTGCTGCTGGCAATGCTTCCCTCAACTCGACGTTTACGCTCACATGTGAAAAAGAGTATAAACAGAGGGAACCATGCATGTTTGAAAAGCAGAAGTGGAGCTTCCAGCACAGCCGACAAGAATGCAGCAAGTGGTTTCTGGGTGGCAAGTCATCAACAAAACACTTGTGTTGTACAGCAGTAAAACCAGCTGACCAAACGTGCTGGAGCTACACTGGGGTTGCTCCAGCAACTTAAAAGTGACTTAAAAGTTGGAAGATTTTTGAGCCACCTTGTTTTCCAGACATCATAAAACATCTGGATTTTTATTTTTTTCACCATTTGGGTTGTTTATAGAAGCAGTTGATACCTGAATGGAAAAACCAAAACGTGCAAAACATGAACTTTGCATAACAGGTCCACGTTAAATAAAAAACAAATAGCCTCTCAAACTCAGAAATTGGCTGAAAACTAAACACAGCATACACATGTGTTGCAGATTTTCTTATCTCGCCTCATTTTGTGGTTAAGGTCACGATATTTGGAGAGAGTGCCGGCGCCCAGTCGGTGAGTCTTCACTTGATGATCCACAGCAGCAAACCTCTGTTTAAACAAGCCGTCCTGCAGAGCCTGCCCTTTTCCATCCCACTCAAGACCAGGTAGGAAACCCACATCTCGGGGTCAGCCACGCTCTAAAAACAGAATCTGATGCCTTCGCACTCACTCAAGGAAATCCACGCTGCACCTAGCCCTCTTGGTGTATTTGGCACGCCTCCGGATTACTTCAAGCTGCAGACTAATTTAGTTACCCCCTGCCCCCCTATCTCTTTCCCAGACATGACGCCCTGAGGCTGGGGAAAGACTTCGCTAAAGAGACCAACTGCTCGGCGAGCGACTTCGTCTGCCTGCTGTCTCTCGCTCCGCAGGCCGTCCTGGCTGCACAGATGAAAACAAGTAGGGCGCCACAAACCCCCACCCACCCACCGCCCGAATTTAGAGCTGCCCACACACTTACATAAGTCAGACAGCAGGACACGGCATGTCTATCTGGGAAAGATGATGAAAAGCTTTTATTTATCTTGAGTTAGAGGAAGACAAAATGGGTTAAAGTGAACTTTTAGCCCCTGAAGGAGCCGTTTGATGGGTTTTACTGCCTCACAGCAGAAAATGAATGTCATCTATCTATGGTTGGCAGGTTTATTGATCAGTGTCTTTAAATCCGGGATTCTGCTCTGAGAGACAGTTTTCACTTTTACTTTATACTAAAGAAAATAGAGAGAAAACTCTCCGTTTTATTAGCCACTTTAGCTGTTTTTTCAAAGCAAATTCAGAACCATACAGGTGTAGCTGGGGGTTTTGTTGACCACGTTTCTCCAAAACGACATTTTAATTCTTCTGTTCAGTTTGTAATAACTATTGCTTCCTGCTAGGACTGGGCGAGAAATCAATATTATCAATTAATAACATTTTCTGTTTTGGAAAATCAAGATTTTTTTTCCACCAGCATGCTCGTTGGGCTTCCATAGTTCACAGCGATGAGAGCAGCCATCTTTATTTTTACAAGCATGTTTTACAGCTTCTATTCAGGTGGATTTTGTATTATCAAAGCAAGGTTTGGGGAATATTTTCTGCCATTTCTTATTTTGAAATCAAGAAAATAAATTGATTGAAATTGGAAATCAAATTTGGTATGATTTTATTTTTAAGCCATATCCCCAGCCATCACTCCTGCTAATAAAAATCTCTCTTTTTGTATTCAGAACAGTAATGTAGTTAGTTAGCTTAATGTGCCTTTCGTAAGGCTCCTTTCTCTGTTTTGAAAAGCTCACTTCCACGATTATCTATTTATCACTATGGTGTTCTTTCCGTTCGCAGGTTCTAAGGTCGTGAACCCGTTCAGGTTCCTGGAGGTTTTCGAGACGTGGGGCCCCCACATCGACGGAGAGCTGATTAAAGAGCAGGCCATCGCTGCCTTCCAGAAGGGTGACTGGCAAAAAGAGAAGGCACTGCTGCTCGGTGAGACAACAGCAGCAGCAAATTTTAATGTCTTATTATTTTTCGTCCTGCTTCCTCCTGGACTCCCACAGGTCCTCATTAAAAATCAGTCGATTGCCAGGAACTCTAAAGTCGGTGATGTTCTTTTGGAGCGACAGCGCTGCAACATTTGTTCCTCTGGACTGTTTTCTGCCCTGCAGGAACAACCTCTGAAGAAGGAGTGCTGTTTGTTTACGGCGTCTTTGGCAAGCCAGTGTCCGTCGTGGAGGCCACTGTGTACATCGCGGCCATCTTTAAGCAGCACTCTCTGAGGATCCTACACAAATACCTGCCGCTCTACAAGGAGGCTGACCGCAGAAACATGCTAACGCAGGTAGACGAAGCTCAGCTAAATCCTCTCCTTATACACCAGGTTCAGTAGGAATCTGGCACGGTTAGAGAAACCTAACTGATTTAACACGGACTGCTTTGGACTTTCCATTTGCATTCTGAAGAAATTTAAAGCTAAATCTTTAAACTAATCCAATGCAGATGAATCCAATATGACTAGATTAAATCTAGTTAGAAACAGCATAATAAAATAGTAAGAAAAGAACTGAATCTCTTCCTTTCATTCTGCTTTTAGGGTATTTCCACACCTGATAGTTCAGTTGACTCGGTTCATACACATTCGAACTACACCAAAATTCACTTGGGTGTTTTAGTTGGACCAGAGGTTGGTTGCGAATTCACACCTCCCCAAATAAACCAGACTTTATAGACATAAACAGTGGAGTTGGATTAAAGCGGCCTAAACGGGGCTGGTGTGAATGCACTCTTGGAAACGCTAAAATAAACAAAAAACTTCCAGCATTCTCCAGTAGTCAGCAGATCAGACTGTCTGAAAATGGCCTGCAGTGGGCGCTGTAGCTCTAGCTCTGCCGCTCCAACATCTCTAACCTTGAGTGACAGGCTGTGCTTTTCCCCCTCTCCATCATTTGCATGGATGAAGCATGCAGACCACCTGAAGCCAGGACGGTTGTCTGCTTAAGATGCAACCCTGACTGCTGCGCTAAACAGGGACTCCATTCTCATGCGGGTCCTTGGTGACGGGTGGGATCAGCTGTGGAATCACAGTCAAGACCACGGCCTCACCAGAAGAGGAGGCACTCGCTGTCACCTCCAGAAGAGAGTTGGATAAAGACACGGTCTTTCAGAAACGTCCAAAGTCCGTGAAATTAGCAGCTCCTATTCAAGTATTTTCAACTCAGATTATTTCTGTCATGCTGAGTCACTACTACAGCAGAAGAAGACAGAGAGGTAATGCAGCGTCCATTTTAGTTCCAAATTCAGTTTGAACGAATTCGGTTCAACCTAATCCAATCATATGGTAAAATTTAGGATTCAGATTTATGGACCAATAATTTTCAGGGACTTTGAATTCTCATCGGAGTTATATTTTTTAGCAATTGAGTTCAAAAAATGAAACTTGTTTTGTACATCCGTTATTCAGACTGAGATATTCCACTGTCATTTCTATTCATTTTGTTGACTGGTCTAAATAAACTGTGGCATTTCTTGTTGTTTTTGTACAGACCTTTTCCTTCCACTAAACTTTTCGCAAAGATACTTGAATAAATTGCACAGCAAATTATTCATATTCTTTAGCAATTAACCTTTTTATTGATCAAATGTTTTAAGAACATGGCTACAGTGCTGTTGGAATGTGATTGGCTGAAACAGACCCCCCAAAGTGTGGGGGTCTGTTCATAAGGCTGTAACAAGGAAGCTTTCTGATTGGTTGCTGATAATCCAATCAGATAGATCATCTATTAAAAAAGACATTTGTGCTTTGAGATGTGAGGGGAGTCTTAAAATTCACACACAAATGCAGCCCCAGAAGCAGCTGGTAAATCGATATATATTTGTGTTTGCATCAAAAATAGAAGTGTGAATCTCATTCCGTGCGTTTGTGAATAATGAGACTGTTTTAGCTCCATAGGAGTTGGTCTTAAAACTCCTCGTAAATACAGTTTTGTCTGTACTTATGTCAAATTTGTAGGCGTAGGAGAAGGTTTGAATTTGTAATTATCATATTTGTGAGGTTGAAGTTAAAAAGCAACAGGACATAACTGCAAAAAGTTACTACTAAGAGCTAGTGATGCTCAATATGAAGGAGTTTAGGTGGTAATCTTGAATTAAATATGGCATTATGCATTTTGTACAAATTATAAGTTGTGTTGGGTTGCTTAATTTCTTGCAAACCGCCGCAAGTTTACCATTTGACCAACATGGCTACCTCTCAGCCTTATGTCTACTTTCATCACGTCTCCTCCCCGATGTGGGTTGGTATGCCAGCATTTTCTGTCTAAGAAGCAGTGAGATGGTCATGTCTCATCTGCGCATATAAGCCCAGTCTGTGTGATGGGCCTTGATGTTCTTTAGCTTTAAGGCTCACACAGAGTCAGTTTTCCACTGGAAGAAGTTTTTCTTCTCGGAAAGACGAGACTTCTATCTCAAAGCTGCATACTTTATGTCTACAGAGACCTGAGCACATCAATTAATCATGATTTCTGTACCAAAATTATGCCCCGACTTTACACAGCCCTACAAAATGTGCATTTCTATTATTCAGTCACACTTGGCTGGTCAGTGAGGATGCTGGAGCTGCAGCCAGAGCTGGCCTCACTACATACTCCTCATGTTAATGTGAATAAAGGACACTTCTCCACAGGAACTGGGGTCAGCACACTCACTCGCTAGAATATGCATTTGCACGCCATGAACCGAGTGTGACGGACTTTAAAAACTATCTCTACATTATTACACATAAATATTCCTGTACATGTGATCTTGCCTAATTTTGAGTTGTGTAATGTTCTGTAACCAGACACATTATGTAAACGATTTCCAAATGACATATAAAATAAAAGTTGAGAAGAGGAAGGCAATGTCTGTAGCCTGCAAACGTTGAATCTTAGAAATGTAGTAAATTAGAAATAATTGACCAAAAGGTTCAGAAAACATATTTAGCTGGTTTGTTAGCAACCAGCGAACAAACAGGCCACATGCCGTTTTTTACATGAGAAAAAGTTTGCGCAAGTAAATCTTTGGAGCTCCACCAGTTACAGAGCTACCAGTAAAGTTTTACTTCCACTTCACAATAAGTCATTGCAATGTTGGTCTGTTTCAGAAAATCCAATTAAACTGCTTTGAAGTTGTAATTGTAGTGCACTGTATGTCGGCATGGATTAGAAGTCTTGTGTGAGAGTCTCTGCCACTCGAAGGCAGGAGTTGTTGCATAACACCGGATACCCACTTGATATCAGGATTCAGGTGCAGAATGTGCCTGTTCCGAGTTATTACATTTCATCTTGAGCGAGTTTGGAGCAGACATGAGCCTAATATGAGAAAAGAGAGAGGGTGTATGTTTGTGTGTGTGTGTGGGTTTGTGTTTGTTTGGGTTTTTTTTTCACTTTTTACAGGAAGCCTGTTTGTGTTCAGGTGCGAGATGTGCAGCAGTGTGGGCGCAAGTCGCACACTGCCCAAAAAGACACACTGGTTTCCAGGTAACAGGCAGGAGAGAGGAAGTCTGGTTTCACTTCTGTTGCTTTCCTTGAGGCAAGAAGGAACACCCGATTTTTATTTTTTATCTCTCTGCCCCAAGCTCATCTTCCTGTAGGAATCCCACTAATTACTTCTGCTCACACTGTAGTCTGTGGGACCCGATGGACTTCTTTTTTTTTTTTTGACAGATGCTTTAATAATCAATAGACGAATGCGGGGCGTTTTATTGCCCAACTTGAAACTGATCACAATGTGCAACAAGCAGAATGAGAAATTAAAACCCTGAAATAAGGTCAAACCATATTTTAATTATGGATTTGGTACCATTTTAATTATGGCTGTAAAACAATAAAATACAGAGCAAATATTTTTGCACCTTTTCAAATAAAGCAAATGAATATCCAGCAATAACTGGACATTTGCTGCAAAGCTCAAAAATAGTTGTGCCAATGACGGATTGAGTATAAACAAATCTGATGTGTTCTGTCCCAAGAACATCATTCTCACAGACAAGCTTTGTGGTTGGCACAGAATCTTTAGGCCTTTTGGAACAAAACAAAAAGCCTAAAGATTCTCAACCCCATCCATGATTTGGTACCAAAGAAAGTCTCAACATGACTGCAATCCGAACGCCCAGCTAAAGTGCTGACGAACTGGTTAGTCAACAAAAATATTGTCATGTAGTGACCGAGCCAGAAAACAAAGAACAAAAAATATCTTACGCAGTATAGAGAGCACCATGCGCATGAATTAAAAAATGTGGTCCAGCTGTCCCATTTATAACGGCATGTGGAAAACCCTGAACTTAGGAAAAACCATGTAACAAGCTGAACTGACAGAACAGTTTGGATTTTGTCACTTAGATTTACTCATGCTTTTTGTGACATTATGTTGACCAGAAACTAAATTAATCATAATGCTGGGGTTAAACCACTTATCTGAGTCCGTTTTATTTCTCATTTCAGATTGTCACCGATTACGTCTTCCTGTGTCCAACCAGGAGGTCGGCGCGTGCCGGAGCAACTGCTGGCAGTCGGGCATGGATGTACGTGTTTGACCATGTGGCCTCAGACCGCAGTGTCTGGTCCGGTCTCACGTTCTGCTATGACCACGTCTGCCACGGGGCAGAACTTCCCTTTCTCTTCGACTCTGCCCCGGTGGCCAACTACTCCTTGACCCTGCCTGAAAAGCTCCTGTCTAACCGGATGCTGTGCTACTGGGGGGCTTTCGCACACACCGGCGACCCATCGTCAAGGGTTCAGCAGACGGTTTTCTGTCGCGAGCAACGTCTTCCCGTTTGGCCACGCTACTCTGACACCAGTGGCTGGCTCGTCATGAACCTGACGGTGCGGTTGCATGCGCAAGTCGGAACCAGGAACCATATATGTGACTTCTGGGACCAGCTGGGCATCTACTAGCTGGTTCCAGCTGGTACAGAGAGATTAGGTTGCATCTCTATGGACAGCATTTTCAAATTTCACAACTTAGGAAAGAAGCCAGGAAACTAAACTTGTTCAATGAAGATATCCAAACGTATTTTATCGTCTCTTCCTAAGACTTTGATAGTGAAAATCACGTGAACAAGAAAGAAGAACAATACAAATGACTTCTAGAAATGTGCAGGGATGCCATTTGTGTCATAATCTGTGGTGTGCCATGCTAACTTGACCCTACCATGCCAAAGTCAACATACAATAGGTTATCAACTAGTCAAGTAATTTTATGCAATGGCAGTAGCGACAATGCAATGGTTCTTTCTATGCAACAAAACATTGTCAGAATAAAGCTGGACAAACAAGAAGTTATAGACCTTTAAAAGTAAAATTATTAGACAATAGCTTTTACTTTGTCAATTAGACTTACCCATGCTATTTCCTGTCTAGTTCTTTCATTTCCTGTTTATCACAGAATCTGTCTGATATGACAAAAAATTTAACTTTTTAGCATAATTAATGAAACCTAGTGACAGTATCCTGCACCAATCTGTGGTATCCGATCCTTGACATTTTCCAGTGGGGGATCCTCCTTATATTAGACCGGAAGATCCTTTGACTTACGGTCATGCATCTTTGACGTTTTTGCTTGAAGCTACACCAGCATTTTCACTCAGATAAAAACAGACTCCAACACATTTCCCCCGTTCTCATGGAACATCTTTGTTTAATGCCTACCCCAAGAGGCTGACACCAGCAGAGCCGTGAAACCCCCCCCAAATAGACAACATGATTCATTCATGTGGTTCTGTTGGCGTCACCGAACCATGACCCTCCATGTGCACGGGAGAGGTTTGCAGCTCGGTGGAGACTCCTAAAATATTCTCTGTATGTCTGGACTGAGAAGCAGAAATGAAGACGGAAATCTTTCCTTCAGAAGAAATCATCCAGGCCTGGCCATTAAAATATTTGACTATTGTGTAAAAGTGCAATATTTTTTGCCAGTCATCTCAGGAAGGGCACAGTGTGACATATTCCTAATATTTGCTTGCTGTCATTTTGATGACTCTCGCTTACAGATGATAAAAGAAAAGCAAAATTCACTGTCACAGAAGACCATGACAGAAGGAGGCAGAGAAAGACGGCCGACCTCTCCTCAACGCTGTAAACTCACATCCATGTTTCCCTAAATTCCCTTTGCGGACGGCCAGGTCTGATGGAAATACAGAAGTGGGGAGTAGCATGCATAGATCCGACTGTTTGTCCAGATATTAGCCAAGAGATTATCCTCTCCCTATTCTTTCGGCTGGAAGACTTCTATAAACTCAAGTGTACCTTTAAAATCCACTTTACTCGTCTTTGCTTTCTGAAGCAACATTTATCTTCTCAAATACACCAGTGCCTCCAAAAACAGGACAAACTTTAATCGAAAAGACCTGTTTGTGAGCTGGAAGTGACAGCCTTATGTAGAGAAAAAAAGAGAGAAAGAAATCAAACAGCATTTTTCTCTATAAAAGGAAAATCTTGTTATCCTCAGAGCAACAGCAGGCTATTCCCTCTTTACCAGCTGACTGTTTGGAAATCAAATATTCTCTTTGCATAAAAGAGAAAACTTTAGATGTTTAGCACTTTTGACAGTACTGGGCTACATTACAGTTTCCCAGACCTGCTTTTTTCTCTTTTAGTCAGGTAATTAATGAAGAAAAAAAAGGGGAAAAAAAAAAAACTTGATCGTTGCATTGCTTTGATTTGAACACTCTCTTTGGGCATTTCTTTTTTCCCCCTCCGTCTTTCCAATTCCCTTCACGCACACATCAACACGGCAACGTCGCGGTGCGTGCTCACCCAGGATCGGCAGAGCGTGGCCGCTACTTGTCAGGAGGCATTGCTGATGTCAAAAAGACCTTCATTCGCACGGCTTTTTGTTTGCTGCAGAGGAAACACAGCGAGGGGGCCCCCTCTGGGGAAATAACACACCATCTACAAATCCCACGTAATGTCAATAGTTCCACACCACTATGTTCATTCATGTGTCAGGCCTCCAGAGCCGGGCAGCAGGGGGTTGGGGGAGGACCTGTCAAAACATCTTGACTGCATGTTAACTTGCTCTGAAATGATGCAATCCAAACCTGATGGAGTCAATAAGGGGACAGGACCAGGGCCTTCGGCGGCCATGTTGGATGCCCACGGCCAGCCTGGAGACGGGCGTTTAATCGGCTACACCGTCTTAGGAGGACGCGGCGTGTGTTAGCTGCACCCAGCTACATCCTGTATATCGTCTTCAAACAGACGGGACGACAGATGTTTCTGTCAATCACACGTTCACTCAGTTTCTGTCTTTACTTGTTGCAGGAATTTTTTTCTTTGATTTTTTTTTCTTTCCCCACTGGTTGACACTGAATCAGACTAAACATGTTCTTGTTTTAGGTCAGTCAGGATTACCAGATTTATAACCATTAGCTAAATGGCAAAGTAATATTCACATTTCTTTAGTAGTTGGAAGAATTGCTTTAAAAGGCAATGTTGTGTATTTTCTAGCACAATCAAGTAACTATGTTACTTTTTGTTGGTTGGTATAAAAAATATAGTTTGAAAAATGTTTGACTTTGTAATTTAATTCTTTAACAATGGGGTTAAATGACATTAATTTTAGGAGTGTACAAAGGCACTTTTGTCCACTAGGATAAAATCCTAGTAATCTCGGATATTTGTGGGTGTATTGTGTCATTTATCGTGATAAATTTCTTGTCATGATGGAATTTTTGATTTATCATTTTCACTATAAATGAAAATTCTGTGTAATATCTTCAAAAAAAAAAACAAAAAAAAACAATAGAACCAATAAATATCAATAAATTTGCTATTACCTAAAAATGGTCACTTTTACTATTATCACAATAATACCACAAAATATTGGGGCAAAGCGTTAAGTCCAGATCAACCACCACCAATCACTGGGTAAGTAAACTTCTGACTTCAAAGATGCTGACGAAAAATTCAATAAGCACTAATCTCCCATTGTTCTGGAACCCAACAATTGAGATGGTTTCCATCATAGGGCATTTGGACATACATTGCGCCCCACTTCAGTGATAGCCTTAGATATATCAAAGAAGCTTTGGGGCATCCCAGATTATTTCCTAATATGTCATCAAAGGGAATGCTAAACCAGTTATGTGCATCAACGAAAACGTAACATTATCTTTGGAGATGAAAGCGGCTTTTGCGGCGTCTTCACTGCACTGGTTCCGGTTCGTCTTTGGTCTTTTATGGTTATGTCTTTGAGCCCCAAAGATATTGCGACAGGAACTATAACATTGGTTTTATTGTTTTGTAATGATGAGGCGCAGAATTATTCTCTGCTTTTATTACCAGCTGCATGTGCAGCCCTGTGCACCAATCAAACCTTTGCAGAAGTTTGAGTGAATTGTGTCAGCTTTCATGTGAGATACACCGATGCAAATAAAACAGAAATGTAACATAATGATAAAAAATATAAATAAAATATTATTCCTCAATTGTTCATTCTGATTGCGTAAAAGCCATTTTAAGGGCTGTAGCACAACTCACTGTTTCAAGAAGTTAGAAAAGTAGCTAACTGAATTTTTTGTGGGTTTTTGCTGGTCTTGGTAGAAAAGCTGTTTATAGATTTTCTTCCACATGGTTAACACTTTGGTGCATTATTGTTGCATTTGCAATGTTGAGTCGTCTTTGGAGTTGCAAAAGAGATTCACAGCAGTTGCAGTACAGGTTCTTTAAGCAGTCGCATGCTGCCTCAGTTTGTGGGGAATCTACTGACACTTCTATAGATCTATAAAGCATTTCATCGTGTGAAACGTTTTCTTTCGAGCCGATGTAAAGGAGTCCACATTGATTGTGTTTTTTTTGTTGTTGTTGTTGTTGTTTTTGTGATACAGAGTTCTCACCCTTTGTTTTAAGAACAGGCGAATGCCATTAATAAATATGTGTAGAGTATTTCTGTACCTTCTAACGGTTGTTTCTGCGTCGTTTTATCTGGTGATTTTCACCTTTTCTTCTCTCCGGTCTGATTTAAGGGACAGAACAGACAGAACAGTTAATGGATCCTGTTGTAAACATCAATCGCTCTTTGTGTTTCAGGTTTTTTTTTTTTTTTGCATAGATTCTTCTTTGCACCAGCAATCAGAGTCAACCCTGTAGCTTCACTTACTGACATTTAAGTAATCAGTTTTAAGTCCCTGCTGTCGTCCTTTCAGTGGCTTTAATGACGTCGCAGACAAATTTCTATTCCATTAATATTGACTTGAGCCCATCATGCTGGAACTAAGACTAAAGACACAACCCTACAAATCCATAGTCATTAAAGCAGTTGTGTAAATGTGCTGTTTTGATCTGAAACAACTGTTTTGACTAGGAGACAAAATTATGCAATTGGTACATTTGGAGTTGCGGGTCCTTTGGGAAAGAAAAGTGGATTTTATAAAATTTTGAAATTCGGCATGAATTTCAAAATGTTGTGGACGGGATTTGCCGAACCACGCGACGCTGTTTTGCAGCTGCTGCGATCGATCAAGCGTTGCGACTCAGTTGGGTTCGGCACTGGACTTTGACTAAGCCATTCTTACATAAGAACATTTTGATTTAAACCCCTCCATAGAAGTCTATCTGTAAGCCTCTGACAGGCTTTATAGAGGAGTGACCTCAAGTTAGCTACATCCAACCTCTGATGGCAAACTAAGCAAGGATGGTGGCATCGACGAAACCCACTGAGTCATTGGTTGCCAACAACAACCCGTTGAATAACCTGGGCAGCAGCAGCTTTGGGTTTGTGACTCATATAAAAATGAAAGTCATCAACGTGGAGTGAAAGCTGTGGATAAAGCAGGAAAGGTCACGCCACCAGTTTGGCAGCATCCATCCATAATTGTCTGATGGCTGCACTCTCATGCTAGAGTGAAGCCATCCTCTCCTCCAACACTGAAATCCGATGCGCGACTCGTTCACCCTTTTTTTTTTCTTGTCTTTTTTTTTTTACCCGCTCGTAGTGTTCATTGACGCCTCACTGCGACCCTCCATGAAATACGAGCCGCATCCAGAAATCTGACGTCCGCCAATACATGTGGTTGCCATGGAAATCGCAACACTCAAAGGTTGCAGAGAAGCTTTTGTTTTATCAAATGGCTACAAGGAATAACATAATGCACAAAGGCGCCTAGCTGGTTCATCCGGGATTTGAGTTCTCCCTCCTGCGCACTCTTGATTTGTGTTTATTTTTCTCAAATTGCTCCCAAAAAAAACAAAAACATGTGGTTGTTGTGCATCTTTTCCCAGGGGAATGTCCTTTTCAAGGACACAGCGGGGGATTTCATTACCTACAAATGTTGCAATATTGAAGAAATACATGAAAAAGACAGCTGCCCCAGGCTCCCTGTATGAGTCTGTGCTTA